ATTGGGTGAAAGAGTTTCGCCTCGGGAGAGAAACCGTCGAAGACTTTGGCCACGACGGTCGACCTGTGGAAGTGCTCACTCCTGAAACGATTGCTCTTATCGAAGAGGAGGTTCTGAGTGACCGCCGTTTGAAGATTAGAGAAATTGCAGCAAGGCTTGGGCTCTCTAAGTGTACCGTTCATCGCGCGATCCATGAACATCTTCACATGAAAAAAGTGAGTGCAAGATGGGTACCGAAACTTCTTTCAGCGGTACAGAGACAGGAAAGAGTGCGCTGCGCTTCGGAGTTTTTGGATCTTTGTGGCGAAAATCCAAAGACTGTGATCGAGCGGCTAGTGACTGGTGATGAAACTATGATCTTGTATTATGATCCACAAAGCAAGCGCGAGTCAATGGAATGGCGTTATAAGGGTGAAAAGCCCCCTAGAAAGGCAAAGGTGCAACAATCGACTAAAAAACTGATGTGCACAATATTTTGGGATTTTCAAGGCATTTTGATGGTGGATTTTAAAGAACGTAATACAGTCGTGAACGGCGAATATTATGCTTCTTTAATATATAAATTACGAGACAAGATAAAGGAAAAACGAAGAGGCAAGCTGTCTAAAGGTGTCCTGTTGCTCCATGACAACGCCCCTGTTCATACCGCTGGTGTTTCGAAGGATGCAGTTCGTCAATGCGGGTTCACAGAAGTTCAACATCCACCTTACAGTCCAGACATGGCCCCGTCCGACTATTATTTATTTCCAAATTTAAAGCGGGACTTAAGAGGAAGAAAATTTCCAAGCGATGAAGAGTTGCAGGCGGCCGTCTTCAGTCATTTTGAGGATAAAAAATGTGATTATTTTTATAAAGGTTTAGAGATGTTGATTCACAGATGTCAGAAGTGTGTTAGTATTCATGGTGATTATATTGAAAAATAAAATTGGTTTCGTTTCATTTCCTTCATTGGTTCATAGTTAGGCCAATTCATTATGGGACCGCCTACGTATCTCGACTAAGAAACAAGATGCAGATAAATGCAGTAAAAAGGATCTCCGGTTCTCTACATTCGCCATACGAAAAACAGCAGCATTATTCTGCTGTTTTACATTGGTATTCTACAAAGGCATGGTCCTACCACGGTCAAACGACCCATTCGTACTGCAACCATTGTAAAGCTGCAGCATGGCTCTACCACGTATCTACTATTAATTACAGCATATCAAAGTCATTGCTTTATAAGGAGGGACGTTCTACCACAGTTTCCACAGGCGGGTCCGCAACTGCAGTTTATTTTTTCAATTCTTTTAAGTTGTTGTCAAGAAAATACTGCTGAAAACTCTCCTGTTTTAGTTTCCCTCACCCATTGGACGATTTGGATATATCCATATGTACCATTATACTACATCTAAAATGTTATAGTACGATTGTAGCTGAGTACATTGATATTATTATTTTATATTTTTAACTTGAATTGAAATCCTATTGTTCGTGGTTCTATTCTCAATAAATAATAGACCAAGAGTCGCAAACATTTTACTTGTTACTTCTTACGAAATAAATAAATAGATCAAAATAAAAATTTGAATTATTTAGTGCCTTTCGTCTTTAGTTGAATGGCTGTGATTAAAAGATTTTAAATTGCTTATGCTCTGGTCTCTCCTCAAATTTAATTGGTACTATAGACGATAACTGAAATAATTGATATTAATGAATAAAAATATAACTGAATATTAAATAAAACTTACACATGCTAATAAAAAACTCAGTCTGTCTGACTGTCTGTTACCTTTTTTACGCCTGCTGAAAAGATTTCAATAAGGCAAGAACATTGAATGATTGAACACTGAGGATCTGAGAACCTTTTGCAAAAATACTTTAAGAAAAATTCCTTATCCTCACGAGAAATTTTAATTTAATGTGTGCGGAACCACGGGGTGGAAAGCTAGTAAAACATAAAAATCTAACAAGTATCACTCACAATAATTTAATATTAAAAAAAATTTATAACCGACTTCAATATAAATTACTAACCTTGACCAAATTTATAAGGGACCACACGAGAAGCACCAGATTTCAAATAAGAAAAGAATCATCGAAATTGGTTCTCCCAGAAAAAAGTTATGAGGTAACACACATAAAATAAATTAAAAGAAACATACAGTCGAATTCAGTACTGCCTTCTTTTTGAAGTCTGTAGAAAATAAAGAATATGTACCTAATGTTACAATTTATTATAGGTAATGTAATGTAATGTCTGCACTGCCCCGGCGGCGCGGACGGCTCGTGGGGGCAGTGAGGAGCGCTGGCTCGTCTGGGGAGATTTTGTTGTCGCGAGTAAAGATGTCTAAACTAGAACTAACTAGGAGGTGGTTCATAGACGAGTTATATAGCAACGTGATATAACAATTTTACAACTTACTGTCGTAAGAAACTTACATTGTCCATTGATTCAAGAAATAAATAATATAACATAAGATTATACACATATACATAAAGCAGTAAACATGCAATAAATTCATATCGATTTTCTTGTTTAGTCTCTAAAAATAAATTTCAATGTAAATAAGACAAATAATTTAGCTGAGGTCATAGATGAAATTTTGACATCTGCGGATGATACAGGTAAAAAGAATCCCTCCCTTTGTACCTACGACTATTGAAAAAATAATATGGGGTCCACGAGCGGTGAAGTTCCTAAAGGAAATGTATCTGCGTCGCTGCTGGTGATGAGAGGGCTGGTTCTTTTCTCGCTCAAAGGATAAGTATAGCCATTCAGCAAGAAAACGCTGCCAGTGTTCTTGGTACGATACCGCGGGGAGTAGGACTGTGTGACAATTAAAATTATTTAGTTTTTCTTTATTATATATATTTTTAATATTGTGTGTAACCTTTTTAGTGAGATTTAATTTTTATTGTAAAATACTTCTGAGACTAAGTTTATCCTTTAAATAGTAAAAGTTTTCACAGGGCGCCGTGTCACCGTTTCACATTGGTGAAAGATGTCGTGGGATTTGCTAACAATTGTTTTAATGATTTAAATTATACTGTTATATTTTAAGCACTCTTCATGACAGCTAAGAACTGCGTATAATTGTAAGTAGAACTGTACCGACTAAGTATAGTGAATTAATTTTAATTCAATTTTATGTAACTCTATTGGCATTTAATATAAACTACTCAGGTTATTTTACGTCAGCTTTAGTAATTATTAGCTTAAGCAATACGTTCTAAAACCTTACTATTATTATTAATCACGAAGATTATGATTTTGATAACCATTTTTATCCTTAATTTATAGAAAATTAAAATATAAGCATTAGAGACTTTTTCGATGAAATCTAATGATCGGTTTTCTGAATTGTCATAATATCCGCTAGGTCTTACAGACACCTCACTGTCATGTACTTCCAATTATACTCTAATAGTTAAAAAAAAATAGTTCAAGGAAAAACTAAAGGGATGTTTAAGCAGTATCTTTATAATGAATGGTTGGACATGGCTTGGATGTAAAAGAAAGCCTCTAAAAATTCAGAAAAAGAATATATTTTGTCAAGAAAAGGCAAGGAATATAATGAGTCTGAGAGAACTGTCATACGTTTTAATAAAATAACTGATAAATTTTGTTCTACTATACAACGTGTCACAAAAACCCTGTGGTTCCCTTTACGTGCGTTATCAGAGTCAGTATTCAAACGTAAAGAAATAACTTTTTTTCAAAAAACTTGAACATTAAAATTTTCTCTTTTAATTAAAAAAATAATTTGCAAATTATATGTAAGTAGTTTTATTAACTCTAAATGACACGAGAATGGGTCATGGGTGAAGGGGGTTCTTTCACAATCCTCTTATTCTCTGGATAATGCAGAGGTAATAAAACCACATAAAATTCGCAAATTTTTTTTAATTGAACATAATTTTTTAATGTTCAAGTTTTTTGAAAAAAAAGTTATTTCTTTACTTTCGACCTACTGACTGATAACGCACTTAACGGGAACCACAGGGTTTTTGTTACACGTTGTATATCTGCATCCTTTGATGCAGTAATAAGCAGTGGCCTATTAACGGGTCGTTCAAGTATTACGTAACGCAATTTTAGAAGATTTTTGACCCTCCCTCCCCCCTATGTAATGCGCCGTAACGATTTTATGTACCCCCCCCCCCCCAAACGTTACGTAACACCCAACTGATCGGTCATTTTTAACTAATATTCACAATTGTGTCGCGCAACGTACCGGAAAGTCGCAAAAATACTTCTGTTAATGTTAATGATACAGTCGAGGGATTCCCCGCAAAACATACACGCAAAGGGTATATATATATATATATATAAGTAATGAAAAGGGTTAAAGGGTTAATTTAGGGATAAATTACATTAATAAATAAAAAAAAACAATATTACGCAACGCCTTGTTCCAACCCCCTCCCCCTCCCACCCCTGTAACGCATCGTAACATTTTACAAGACCCTCCCCCTCCCCTCAAATTGCGTTACGTAATACTTGAACGCCCCCTAATTACTAAAATTAAAAAGCGTAAAATGTAAATTGGTAAATCTTTAAGACTTACACTACAAGTTTCCAGTTTTCAAGGACGAAAACAGGGAACTATATAAGTGTATGCAAAAAAGTCCTTACAAAAAAAATTTTAACATGAAACAACTTCGAATCAACGAGGCGTTCAAAATGACAAAAACTGTATATGTGGTGTTGTTTTTAGGGTCCCGTAACCAACGGGAGTTCCGTAGTCGACTGAAGAAGTTACGGAGAATTGAAGTAACTTAATGCGCAATTTATTAAGGTCGCAGAGCCCATCTATTAGATCATAGAAGTATAAGTATATATAGAACTCTTTGCTACTAGCGATCAATTTTACCCCCAATAATACTTTGTTATATATTAAAGTAGTGATTACATACTCTTTGCCAAATGCCACATCCAATTGTCAAACAGTATTCTTATCACAGATTTTCAGAATCACAATAACCATTCTTAAAATCACATAAAATTGAGGCAATTAATGGATCAATATAACGTTAAAAACAATTTCTTTATACCTCAAAATTATCAACGTGAAAAAATTAGCGAAACATCTGTAAGTAACTTATTAAATTTGGATGTTCCATTTGATGGCGGTACAAGCATGTTCATTCCATTACGCCCTGGGGGTGATAGAAAACAATCAAATAGTACTTGAAATAAGTGTAGAATGGGAGGGATACTTTATTTACTCTAATGCATCTGAAAAACTTAATAGTTTGGCAGTTACATTCGTCCTCACTTCATTTGAAAATTATATATTTGCATCCAAAATATAGAGAATTTCTATATGTGCCGATAAATATAATAAATGACGAAATTCAAAACTAGAAATTGTTTTTCTTACACATTTTTCTCAACTTAATTCGTTCAGGAATAAAAAAAACGTAATATTCTGTTAGTGTTACGATAAATCAAAAAAATTTGCATCTCAATTATTGCTTACTAACTTTATACTTACACTAACTAGAACAGATGTTGTTGCTGCTCTTTCCGGCAAATTTAAAATTATCAATCACAAAAATATCACAGCGCCACCTATCGGGTCCAAATTTAATGATTTTTCTTTTTACTTTTCACTAAACTAACAGAACAGAACAGAAACTTTTTTATTCAATATAGATTATAAATAATACTTATTGAAAGTCACTCTTTTGTATGATTACCACTGGTTCGAAAAAAAAACCTCTGTCCTGGGAAGAACCAGCAAGAAACCCAGTGGGACTTTTTTTTTAAATAACAGCTTACAATCATGTATGTTACACAAATTAACAACACAACAAATTAGAAATAGCTTGGTAGCGATCACCTCATTTCCAGGGGTTATTATCATCTATAAATTCATTAATATTATAATAACCCTTTTTATACAAACTTAGTTTAATAAAGTTTTTGAACTTTGAGCAGGTCAAATTTGTATATTTTCTGGAATTTTGTTGTAAAAGCGTATACATCGCCCCAAGAATGAATTACTGACTCGATGGAGTCGAGTAACTGGTACTACTAGCTTGTGTCTGTTCCTAGTATTTACAGAATGAATATCACTTATTTTTGTAAAACTACTTTTATTTTTGTGTACGTACATTACATTTTCATAAATGTATTGAGAGGCCAAAGTTAATATATTAATTTCCTTAAATTTTTGTCGCAGCGACTCTTTAGGCTTTAAATCATAAATTGCTCTTATGGCCCTCTTCTGTAAAACAAATATAATTTCAGTGTCAGCTGCGTGTCCCCATAGCAAAATACCATACGACATTATGCTATGGAAATAGCTAAAGTTAACTAGTCTAGCTGTTTCAACACTAGTTAGACTTCTAATCTTTTTTATGGCATATGTTGCAGAACTAAGTCTGCTTGCTAGTTTTGATATATGGGAGCTCCATTGAAGCTTCGCGTCTAGTGTGATTCCAAGAAAAATGGTGGTGTCTACAAGACTCAGTTTCTCCCCATTTATAATTACATTAGTATTTAACTTTTACTTCGTCATATTTCAGCAATTGTCGACTTAATTTGAAAATTAAAGAAGTGTCATCTGCAAATAATACTATATCATGGTTATCTACATAATATGTAATATTACCTATATTGTGAATTTAAGTCGTTTTGGCCAATAAACAGAATGTGTTAATAGTTTGTTTACAGCGACACTTGTCGGATCCTAGCAATCCGATCCGAGCTATGAACCATAACCATAAAAGTTGGTACCACCCTTTTATCTATTTTTGCCGCCAAATAGCACTAGTAGAAAGCCAGACTCATAATTACAGCCTATGGGGCATTGCAGTTTAGCCCTCAGAGGTGACAACCCATCGGTAGCCTTCTTATTTTGAAGTTGGCTATTTCTTTGTTTGAAGTCAGGTGAACTATAGGTTCAACTGTCACACGTCTGAGCCGCGCCACATAACATGACACTATTTGTAGAAAAATTGGCAAAATATTGGAGTACTTTCATCTATCGACATACATACGTTATCCACTCTCCCTCACCCGGGACACTTTCTGGGGCGCGGGTGGTGACGCACGCCTGGGACCACTCCCCCAGGGAGATTGGATAATATTTAGCTTCACTCTATAACGTACGTATATGCCGATAGATAAAAGTACTCCATTGATTTTGCCATTTTTTTAGCTATAACGATAGAACTAACCTCGCTCATAGAAAGAAACGTTCACTGCTGGTTTCTTTCAGTTGTCATCGGGCGGCTAGGCTATAGGGCTAGGCATAGCATTATCTCTTAAACTATACGTCCAAATAACATGCTCTAAAGAGCAAAGTTTATCTTCATAAAATGTCATGATGATGAAGTAACTTTCGTTCGTAAAAATTGATAATAATGCCATGCCTAATAATAACGCTCATAAATCACTTTTTAATTTTTAATAATTTTTGTCACAAATACCATATAGTGGCTTATGTTTAAGAAATAGGCATATGGTATCGTAGATTTTTTTTAGATGGAGTATAGATCTATAGTTTTGTAGAACATTGTATTTACGTATCACTAACTATTACGCCAGCGCACGCGGATAAATCATTTCGGGAGCGCTTTTTCTTCCAACTTGCTTAACAAAAATCAATATTTAGGGCTACCTGGTAGGGTGATAGGTATAACCTAACGCTAGATAGTCTATACTATTCCTCATGAATTTACCTATATTATACAAAGAGAATTTTTAAAATCGGGCTGGTAGTTCCAGAGATTAGCGTGTTTAAACAAACAAACAAAAGCACAAAAAAACTTTCGCTTAATTATATTAAGTATAGGTATAGATGTGTGAATATCAACCCAATCAATCAAGTAATTCAGAAGTTACACGATCACGATCACACAGACACCAACGATTATATAACACACTTACTTAAAATATATTTTCTTCTTGCAACTGCAGTTATTTTTATCTTTTTTTTTTTGTTTAAATATTTATATAAGTATACATTACAGGCGTCTTTTTTACGACATAAGAACTTTTTGAATGGTCTTCAAAACGCACAAAATTTATTAAACGGATTAGAACGTTGCCTTCAAAAAAGTAGCAAGTATGAGAAGAAGCTGTTGCGATGCAAGTCGTCTCACTCGCACACACACAATTTTAACGATTGGTGGGAGAGTGAACCTTCAGTGGAAAAGGAGACGAAGACATCTAATACAGGTGGGGTAGGACTTAGCATCGTCATAATTTCTAAAATAGTCCACATGCTGTATTATTTACAAGTTAATAGGCCTTTCCTGTGTTTGAGAGAAGCTGATCCCAGTCCCGGACTCACGAGTCTAAATAGGGAGTTAATAAGTTAAATGGCGCCCTAGGTCCACAGACCGATATGATATTATAATGAAACTCTTATTGTTTTCTAAAAAGAGGATTTAAACAAAAATAATAATACTTATGAAATATCTGTAAATCATAAATAAATAATTTTTCTGAAAATTCATTTTTATAGTGGATAGAGATCTCAATCGGTTAAGTTTTAAAAATAGTGATTCTCAAATTATACTGCCCTAGGCTAAGTCCTCGTGGGCGCAACTCAAAATCCGCTGCTATCAGTCGGAGAACACCCACTACAACCTGCACTCAGAGTGTTACCGACAGCGTCATGACGTCATGCGTCGATCGAAGTGTTGCTGTTGACCAGCAAACGTGGGATACTGTCGGCGGAAGTGACCACCAGCAAACCCTTTGCGCTCGGCTCATAGTTTTATGTGATTTAAATATGTTTCTTAGTTTTTACGAAACCCTACAGCGAAACGATGATAATTGATTTACTTATACTGTAACATTTTAATATAATAAGCCATGTAGTGGCGGAGTAAGTGAGTCCACCATCCCATATCATAGCTCGTCTTTTATAAGAGGAGACAGAGGCAAACAAACAAGGAGATGAACAGCAGTATCCGTCTGATAAAAACTCAAAATAAAAAACTGCGGTTGCCAACCGGCTTGCCATGCGTGTTAACTATGGAAAATAACCTCCCTATTAGACAAGCGAGGCCTATGTTCAGGAGTGATGCCTTCTTGCTATACTTATAATTAAACAGCTAATCTAAACTGTAAGGATAAAAAACAAAACTTGGGGTCGGGTAATGCATTGGAGGATGTTTAGTTCTGTGGTTATCTTAAAGAGAAGACCAAATAATTTGGCGTCTTTGATAGCGGCATTGTTGCTCTTGCAACTTTACAGAAGCATCTTATAGAGAATTGTTTTCATCATTGTCGATGGCATTCCAGTACTAATTTCTTCAACGATCCAATAGATTCGTCGCCAGAGCCTCTCGTTCTTTAAAATTCGACAATTCCTTTAATGTCGCAAATGCGCATGAGCGGTTATCACTTCAACTTTGTTTCAAGTGTTTTTCCAAATTTATATGTTGTCCCATATATACCATGTATTCCTCTGAATTGTTATTTAATATAAAAATAATCAGTAAAATATTTTCAGAATTGACAAAGATATCGCGTAACCTACCTTAAGACATACAGTCGAGTCAGTACCCTCTCCTTTCTTGAAGTCGGCTAACAAGAATATAATGGTGATGCTAATACCTTTACTTAACGGTGATGCTAACTAATCTTTTACTGGAATCGAGGGACTCTATCTCAGTCCTCACGGGTGACGACGCATCTGCATTTTAATACTTAATTGAGGATAAATGTAGATGTTTATGCGCCACAGCAACAACATACCATCAGGTGGACTGTGTGCTCGTTTGTCACCCTTATTCTATAAAAAATATTAATATTATTATTTACTTATTTGAAGGTAATACAAAATCGTCTAGAAGTCAAGTTGATTTGGCGGAATCCTGGTCTACCATGAGCATCGTGTGCTTACAATATCAGTAAGCCTTCAATTTATGTATATAATCATTGACGTCTTAGCCTTAAACACCCTTGGACTTCTTCGTCTCTTTGGTGTTGTAGAGTCAACTAAAGAAAATCTAGTGGTTTCTGAGAGATCCGGTAAAATAAAAAAAATACAAATACTGAGACCGGTGACCAAATCAGTGTCTAAGATTTGAAGTGGCATGATCTCTTGAATTGGATTTCACATATGTAGCGTTGTGGTTACGGAAAATTTCTGTAAATTGCGTAGTGCTTCAGACGTGATGACTTAATGAGGATGTTAAGTCAATTTAACAAAAATATGAATGCTTCACTAGTCTACGTTTTCTTTATGATCGTTTTACTGAACAAAATAACTTTGAAGTTTGTTCATTCAGATATAAACGCAGGCGCCGATTTCGTCACAAAATATCATATCATCATCATCATTACAGCCCTTCACAAGTCCACTGCTGAACATAGGCCTCCCCCAAAGAACGCCACAAAGCACGGTCCCGAGCCACCTGCATCCATTATTATTATATCCATATTATTCCACGGATTAGAAATATCATATATATAAAGTGATATTGATGCATGTAAGTGCTAACGTATAAATAGTTCGTGCAATGAAAATAATAGTTGGTAGGACTTCTTTACCATCTTACCTATTTTTGCCGCCAAATATGTGCAGCACACAGATTTTTGCAGTGTATGTACACCATAAGTACATACATGCTTTGGGGAATTCCATCTTAGTAGTCAGAGGTGTCAACGGATTTGTCGCCTTCATTGTTTGTAGTTGGCTGCAGTTGTCCATGTGCTGCAGTAGACATTTAGATAAACTGTAATTTCGTTTATCGCCTTAATTCTATAAAAAATCATCACAGTATAAAACGAGCTAGTTCGTAGCTAGCGCGCTTCTCACTCTCGCTTGTATAAGGTAACTTGTGGTAGAACTGGCTTAAATGGTTTTCAAACTTTGACCTTATCGAAAGCGACGCAATGCCGTCCAGATATAATCCAGACAAGAACTTTTGAAGTGAAATTTTTTACGGGCGGGCTTTGAAATTCTGGTCCGCAACCTTTTTGTGTGACGAAAAGTGGTGTGATCCGTTATGTATACTTTATGTAAATTAATGAATAATATACACAATCTATGCTATTCAAAAATCATTAATGAATAATTGAAATGTTTCCCTGTAATACAAAAGTTTCACTTCTATCGTTTGTCTTCACGACATACACTGTTTTTATATATATATATATATATATATATATATATATATATATATCTGTCGAACGCTTTAGTTTTTTTTTTATAGGATAAGGGGGAACAACGAGCATACAGTCCACCTGATGGTAAGTGGTTGCTGAGGCCCATAGACATCTGCATCTATCCTTTATTACAAATCAAAATGTAGATGCGTTGTCACCCGTGAGGACTAAAATGGAATGCCTCATTTCCAGTAAAAAGGGCCTCCGGCCTCCTGCACTCACCAAGCGAAACGTAGAGGTAAACCTCTACTTCACGTTGGTTTTCTGTGAGGTCGTGGTACCACCCCGGTTCGAGCCGGCCCATCCGTGCGACAGCAAAAGCTGCCGCGTGGCTCTACCACTGTTAAAATTAGTATACTCAAAATCCTTGAAGAATGTTCTCTCACCATTTATCAAGATAATGTGACATTATTTTTATAGTATAAGGGTGAACAAGCACACAGTCCACAGTGATGGTAAGTACGAGTAGATGTTGTGGCCCATAAACATCTACATCTGTCTTTGAATAAAAATCTAAACAAAGATGCATTGTCACCCCTGAGGAGTAAGATGGAATGCCTCGTTTCCATTAAAAGCGATCTCCCGTTCCCTACACTCACCGTACGAAACACAGCAGCATTAATCCGTTATCTTATACTGGTATTCTGTGAGAGTGTGGTTCTTCCCGACTCATTCGTGCTACAATCATAATATAGCTGCGAGCGTGGCTCTACTATGTGTAACAGGAAACATATTTATGAAAGTGTGGGCAAATGAGCATGCGGCTTACCTGATGGTGACTCTGCAGATGGGTTGCCGACCTTTTTTAAAACCTGAACTCTTTCTTTATTAATATACTCTATCTTCAATTCTACTTTTTTTATAAGTAGTATTTATATTTTAGGTAAGAATGTTTCATTAAAATAAAATAACGTTGAAAAGTAACGTTGTTTAGAATTTCTGTTAACAAATATGTACAGGCAAACGCCTGACTATGCGAACACGAAAAGTAAGTACGGGCGCGATTGCCATTTGTACGTAAAAGAGGCATAACAAATTTTCTATTTCTTCTTTCATAGCCCTATTTTCCGCCTGAGTTTATTTTCACTCATAACTTTAGGTATTTTTGTCACGGACAGATATGAAGAACTATCAAAGCGTTACGAAACCTTACTGCAAGCCTACGACGAGCGATGCAGAAAGCTCAATGAAAGTGATAAAACAATCGAGCGACTGCAACGCCGCACGTATGCGACGCACGCTCAGCTCGTTCGCGCGAATAAAACTTTGCTGTCTGTGGGCGAAAAGTATTTGATACTCCGGCGTAAGAGATTGTTGCAAGTGAGTTAAGAATGTGAGAAATACATAACTTACCACAGATTTTTTATAGGGGATAACATATGAGCACATAATTCACCTGGTGGTAAGTGGAGCTGTGAAGATACTTACTTACATTATCCTCGATTAGGAATCAAAATGCATATTATCTTGTTACCAATAAAAAAAGTCCCCGGTTATCGTCGTTTATTCTGTTCTTTTGCGCGAGCCTGTTACTTTTCTGATCAAGCTACCTACTCGTATTCATGCGACAGCTGCAGCTACGATACTGCTGGAACGAAGTTCCACTACGTCAACCCTAAAATTTTTAAAATAGTTATGAAATTCCATAAACCACTTCTAGCAATATTATCCTCAAATTACCCTCAAATGTGAAAATTTTCGTTCCGCCTTTATTTAATATTGCCTTCATGATAAGCTTGTAAAATGAACTTAGAAAACCAAGAAAATTTCTGTTTGTATAAGATACCTATTGACTTCAATTTCTACGAGTCATCACTCTAGTGCAATAATTGCGAATTCACCGTTATCTGTCCCTACGTTTAAAAAAGATCGTATGAGTTGAGATGACAACCGACCACTGTCCGGTGGTAGGTGGTCATCTCATCGCTTATTATAACCTCACTTTTTTATCTGTGCCAAAATTAGCAATACTGTACAAACGAACTTACAGAGACTAAAGTAATTCTATAGCTCTAGAATTTTTTAAATTCGGCATAAAGATGATGTGATAGCTCAATTATACACATAATACCAAGCTGAAATTTACTGCTCACTGCATGCTGCGCATGCTGCATGAGTAGGAGAATCTACATTAGTTACTATATGAAATGAAGGTTAGATGGGAAGCTATTAGGGTTGCCAGATGGTCGGGATTCGTCTGGATTCTCCCGACATTTTAAATGATCTCCAGACTTCCGAAAAAATTCGAAATCTCCAGAGAAACGGCTTCTCGGAAAATACTATACAAAATAATAATTTAAAATTGCCACGCGCGGTCACATTCTTCTTCTTCATGTCCCGACAAGATGGCTATCTCTTTTGCCCACTGTAAACCATTTACTGTATTGTTAGTCTGATGTAAAGCAGTATTTTATGTTGAATGGGGAAGACGAATGTCGAAAAGAGATATTTAACAAAAAGTAAAAGCCATATTGATGATAATAATAGTGATCGGGTTGACGAATGCAAACAGGAAGGGGATTTCAGAAGCGTATTTATACTCTGTACTTTGTAACGTAATGTTGGAGTTCCAAGTAGGAATTTTAACATTTCGAAGTGCTCCATGCACTGTCCTAGAACTTGACAGTGTAATGAAAAAACTAATGAGTCATCTCAAAAACAGGTTGGATGAAAAATTCTAAGGTAGTAGAAAAATAACCTTATAAAGGAATGTTTCTGAATGTTTCCAATAGTGAGAAAATCCTTTTTTGAAACGAACGAAACGAACATTTTTTAAAACGAGCTATTGAATACTTTTCTGAGAACTCTATATAAAAACTTGCTGTATTGTCTTTACAAGGTTCAAATTTATTTACGTGGGAAGAGTTATCCGTATTACCTGACGTACTTAATATTTCAAACGATATTGACTTTGAAACACTTGCACTTCTTCCAAAAAACTAGGACATGTAAAATGACAAAATTTGGGCATTTTTTTAAATTTAACCAAAACGACCTAAAACTTGAAAAATAGTATATCATTTGTGTTGCCGATTCCTATAAGCAATGCATACTGTAAATGGGTGTTTGGTTTGCTATATAATTTATATACCAAAAAGAGGAATCTTTAGTAATTGAATTGTACTTATTTCAAGTAAATTGTTTGAATTTTAAATCAATTCTGAATACTACTAAACGGCCTAAAGTGGGGGACTCAGTAAAGTCCAATGCCAAATACGTGACAACCTAAAATTTAAGTGTAATTAAATTGGTTATATGTTAACAATGTTAAGCCTTTTTTTAGCCTATTAATTAAAAAAAAATATTTTACGTTATTATTTTTCATATTTATTTCTCCCGACTACAACCCCAAAATCCCGACATTTCCAAATTTTGTCCAGATATTTTGGCCTTCCGATCTGGCAACTCTAGAAGCTATGCATAGATTTGTTTATGATATCCTGTTATGCTAATTATAGTAATGATTACGATTGTAGCAATTTTATAGATAAGGAAATTATAAACGAAAAACTTTGTAAAAACCTGTCCATACTGTACAACTTGTAACACTGTTTCTATACAATAATAAAACACAAAACTTTAAATTTTCTTAGAAGAAATTATATGAAGAGAAATTGGAAGTTTTGAAGCATATAATACAAGAAATTACTGCAGAAGTAGATCAAAAAGATCTGGAATTAGATCGGTTGAATATAAACGTGGAACCCGAACTAGAAGTGAACACAGCTTTGCTGATGTCAGAGGTATATAATACTATATGGTATATGATATAGTATATGGTACTTAGAACATTATATTAAAGTAACTGCCTAGATAGCATGTTCCACAGGCACAGGTCTCCTCTCAATTCTGAGAGGGTTGAAGAGCAATTATTCGTTTGCTACCCTAGTGCGTATTGTCAGCTGACACGTCTTTAGAATATTTTTATTCCTCAGGCATGCAGGTTTCTTCACGTAAATTTTCCTCTACCGCCGTAAACGAGGTAAATCAGCACTTAAAATTATTATTAACAATTTCATCGAAGCCACTGACGGGGGAGAGGGTAGGGTTATCGTTACCCATGGTATGAAATTGGACTGTGGTCTCTCGAGAATCGTCGGCACACAGTAAACTATTTAATATCATTATTATTACAATGTTACTTATGGAATTATCGTTTTCTATAAAATTAAAATATTTTTATGATAATTATTACTTAGTCTCGCTAAAACTCAAATACGGCTCGATTTTGATGATATTTTTCGTGCATGTTTAAATGGGTTCATAGATGATGTAAATAGATTCACATTTGAACCCAGTAGGTGGCGCTGTTGTCGAGATCCAGAAACCACCCGTGCGAAGCCGAGGCGGATCGCTAGTTTAATATAATAGAGACGTATTGGCAGTGTTGTCGACCCAATTTGCTATTTAATGGTAGTTTGTTAATGCCTTTGTCCTCTAAGGATTTACCATATATGTAAGCATAGCAGCTGTTTCTGACGCAACTTCTGACGCCGCTGATGTGTTAACTTGTTTGGACCTTTGTATCTGTCAGAGTTCTTAAGATATTTCTGTACATTGTGTTACAAATACATTACACGTTAATTACGTGCTTACAACGTCTGTTCAAGGAGTGGGTTTACTAGATAATATTATTCAATCTATTGTAATAATATCACGTACGCCATCCAGCTACAGCTATATTAGTAGTATAGTTGTAGCACGAATGGATCGGCTCGACCGGGAAAGGACCACGCTCTCACAGAATACCAGCGTAAAATAGCAGTTTAAAACTGCTGTTTCGTATGATGAGTGTAGAGAACCGGAGACCCTTTTTACTGAAAAAGAGGCATTCCATCTTAGTCCTCACGGGTGACAACGCATCTGCATTTTGATTCGCAAGTGAGGATAGATATAGACGTCGTTAGACTGTGTACTCGTTTTTCCCTATCCCATAAAAAAAAAGTGGCGGCAATTAGTATATATTATTATTAATAACTTTGGCTTACGTTCAGCCCAGCTCAGTGTTATAATTTTAATTAAGAAATCTTTGAGGCAAGTCCGCCAAAGGTAAAAAGGCTTTACTATAATTATTAAATACTAACACAGAACTTACCCTGTGCTTCTTCACAGGTCGGTGAACAGTAATTCGTGATGAAGGTCCAATATCACCATTACCAATACCATTATAGCCGATCAAAAGTCCACTGCTGGACGGAGGCCTTCTTCTTTATATTATCTAAAAGGGGTGATTGATATTTGCCACGTTTGACAAGCGGTTTGGCAACCACAGTTTTGATTCAGCTGTTACCTCGAAAATGCCATCTCCTGGTTTAGCTTCCCCTCTGTTGCCTCTTATGACATCCATGGGATGATATGGGGTAGTGGATATTCTTACACCGTTACTACACACTAACTCCAATATTACTATATGTATATCACTACTGTGTCTGTGGCGTAACACTGCATACATTTGATATAGTCTAGTTTTTATTTTTTTAAATAGTTTTAAAATATCAAACAAGCCAGCAGCCCACACCTTCCGTTAATTGGTTTCTGAAATCCATACAACCAGCTCCACAATGGAGGCTGCAGAGGCGTTGTTTGATATTGTGCCTGTATTATAACTGTGTGGCTGTGTGACTATAACTTTCAAATTAAACCACGTACTGTTTTAACAATGCATATTCTTTTTGTAGATTCGCAAATGTAATTATCTTTTCCTGGAAAACCTACATTTAAAAGAACTTATAAGGAATGAGACATCACAAAACGATACTTTAGAGACATATTAGTTTTTTTATTAGTTGTTATTATTAAGAGTTTTATAAATAGATGTATTAATACTTAATATATATCGTTTTATGAATATTTTCATAGTCATAAGTTTATTAAATTTAATTAATATTTTTATTTTTAGTAACTGTTTTATTAAACTTGAAAATACATCAATTTTATATTTATTCTATTTATGATATTGGGTGTCAATATGTTGTAATTTCGACTATTAATGTAATTGGTTTCACTTAATAAAATAAATTGACTTGAATTTGACGATCTCTATACCTTTAACAAAATAATAATTATATAAGTAATAATGTCTTCCAGACCGAATTTCGGTCACGGCGGCACGCCTCAACGGAGACTAGCCATCTGCGCAGGTCAGGATTATAGTGCCCAAGTGTATGCGCAAGCACAGGTGCACTCTCTATTCCCTCACTCTTATAGTCCGATGGAACGGTAAACCTACGCGACCGGAGAGAGATCAGGCGCCGGACCAACGGCTTTACGTGCTTTCCGAAGCACGGGGGTGAGACACCGCCAACTACCTGACTCCAGGTAGCTACTGAGAATTTATTGACGGAAAAACTCAATAACAGTTTTTTTTATTACAGACCCGGGATTCAAACCCGGCACCTCATGATCAGTAGTCGCGTCTTACAACCACTAAACCAACGAGACAGTCGTTGTTAATAATTATCATTTTGTGTAACATAACATAATTGCGCAAACAATTAAATGCAATCCTAAACGAATTAGCATATTACAAATTCAGTCACTCACCACGTTGAAAGAATAAATGTTTTCTTTCGACCGTGTAGTGGCGGTGTAAGAATATCCACTATCCGATGTCGTCCTGTAGACGTAAGAGGCGACAGAGATAAAAAAAATCAGGAGATGGCCAAAAGTGTCACTTAATAAATAAATATTTAAATTGAAAAAACTCCGTGTTTAAAAAAAAACGGCTCCGTGGCGCAGTGGCTTAGCAATGAGTTTTTGCGCTGGGGGCTGCGGGTTCGAATCCCGCACGGAACAAGTATTTGTATGGACTACAAATAATTGTTCCAGGTCTGGATGTTTGTCCTTGTGCAATTTATGTTTGTAAACTGCCTCCACGACACAGGAGAAAATCGGTAACGCTTTTTTTTAAAAAAAACTGCGGTTGTTTCCTGGCCTGCCAAACGTGGCTGATATCCTCCTATGAGTCGATGTATGGGCAAGACCTATATTTAGCAGTGGACTTCTTGATACGCTGTAGCAGTAACTGGTATACATAATATCTTAATTATTCTTTATGGGATGTTTAAGCTATAAAGTGCTAGCTAGGCAATATTAAAGAGAGACTTCAGTGAAAATTAAGGCGAATCCATGTGCATTTCCAGCAGTGGGGTTTTACGGGTTGATGATAATGAAGAAGAAAAACATCCAAATGTTTTTCTGCCGACTTTAAAAAGGCGGAGGTACTTAATTCGACTGTATGTTTTTTATCTGTGTTATCTCTTAACTTCTTTCTGGATGAACCGATTTCGATGATTCTTTTTTTATTTGAAAGCTGGTGCTTCTCTTGTGGGCCCATATAAATTTGATCAAGGTCTGATCAATAGTTTTTGAGTTATTCTTAATAATTTATATTGAAGGCGGTTGTCCAAAATTTTTAATAATTATAACGGTGTCAAACGAGCACACAGTCTTCATGATCGTAAGTGGTTGCTGTGAAATGTTGTGTCAATATCGAATTTGCAGCATTCAAATGTCGAATAAAACAATTTTTTACGGATTTTAACGCGTTCAATTTTAACTTTTTAATTCCCGACGGTTCGGGCGCTTTTCAGCATCCATGACGCGGGAGAGTGGTATTTTAAATTTGTTAAGTTCTTTATGTTTATTTTTCGTGGTTAAGTGGGTTATGCTTTTGATAACTTCATCATCATCATTATTATTATTACAACTCATCACAAGTCCACAGCTAGACATAGGCCTCTGCCAAAAAATACCACAAAATTACTGGTAGTTTTAAGCGACCTCCCAATAGATAGGGTCACAACCTGTTAAGATACAATATGTCTCAGGACCGTGTTTTGTGGGCTCAATCTATTAACATAAAATTAAACAGATTGTATAGTAGTAGCACCGACAATAAATTAGTTTTTGTTGCAGAGTTAAATATTTAACAATTACTAATATATGTTTTCTTTTTTTATTTCAATTTCACACGAATTAAGTCACATACGCAGTTACTTTATTACACATAAATGCTCCTGACTAATTTAAATGACGTCTAACCTATTTGGTCCAGATTTCTCTAAAGAATGCTCTTTAAGCAATATATGTATTTAGCATCCTTATTTAACGTTGTACCTATGCTATTTACTAACAATTGTCTGGATTTTTAGGACGCATTATAGAAATAAAATTTATAATATATAACAAACTTTATAATTAGACTCATTACATGCACTCTTTATAACGTATTGCCACTGTATATAATTCTTTAGAATATCACTAAACAATACTATAAGGTTAATAATATTATTAAATTTAACATTTTAATAAAACAGATCACCTTTTATTGAAAAGCCATGGCTCATCATCAATTTATATTAATTGTGACTGGTTCATATAAGCCGCATGCATTTGTTTGATCTCATCTACCATAGCGTCGAGAATAAGAGACAGATCTTCAGATGTTGGCACCAAACGAGCGTCGGCCATTGCAGAAAAACGAAGAACTCCGCCATAGTATAAAGCTGTTACACCGAGTCCTGTAAGTATATTTCTTTATTTAATACTAGCGATCCGAGATAAGACGTCACCAAAGCGTCTACGCCAGTAGCATTCCACACTAGGGGTTTACCTCCAAGGGACCAAAGTCATACCGTCGGGTCTCTTGTCATTGTCTCTAAATATTCCACAAGTCTCTAAAACTGAGGGAACATATATAGAGAGTAAAGCCTTTCGGATGAACTCGTTCAAAGAACCGTGCCGTGAAAACCTACCAGCACTTTTCGTACATGAAAGTCCGTGGAGCCCAAACTTGTCGACGCTGCTACGACAGAGGCACTGATGAGGTTGACAAATCGCCGCTCCTAGTCTGATTCCTACGGCGATGCGCAAGCTTTCCCCATTAAGACAAGAGACAAGAGCCAGATGACACAGATGGAAAAGACAAAATTCATGTCTAAGGTTCATGTTACACCTGTACAGGTAGTTGTTGTAACACTACGCTTGAGGTTTTTGACGAGTCCGAGTGACGAGACGAGTCAGGACAATATGTCCGCTAAGGATACACTTCATTCAACTTAGACCAAGACGACAACTGATAACGTTCGGGAAATTGCCATAAATCTCCTTGTCAGTTGTAAGCGTGTTTTAGACAATTATGTTTTAGATAATTCAAGTTGAAGTAGTTAGCCGTAAAGTTTATGCTACTTTGAGATAACTGTACCTACAGATTCAAAAACGTTTTACCGCTATTTATCAAAAAGACTGCTAATTAAATTCCTTATTATTTCTATGTATAGTTATGCTGTGTTTTACTTACATGTAAATAATTAATTTGTCAATAAATTGAATCGACATCTCACCTACTGTACATCCGCTTCGCTTTCGGTCTTCGAAAGTATGACCACGTCTCATTCTATCACTCTTAACTTTAATGGTGAATAACAACAAAGGAATCTAGAATTCTTTTCACTATCCTTAACGATCACGCGCACACGTTTGTGTGCGTGCACGGGTGCGTGTGTGCGTGCGCATGTGCGTGCATGCGTCCGTGCATGTACATGTGCGTGTGCGTGTGAGTGTGCGAGTCTGCGTGCGCGTGCGTACGTGCGTGCGTGCGTGCGTGCGTCTGTGTGCGTGCGTGCATGTGTGAATTTTAATCCTAGCTCACTTCTCCCACAAATTAAATTAATTATTATTGGTAATAACTTAGCAGAAACTTACCAGTAGTTCCTTTATTTGGTATAAAGAAAACTAAACTTTTTATTAAATTACCACCACAAATGCTCACAGAATCTGGTCCAGGCATATTACTAAATATTAACGTGGCTTGACTATTCTTTAAAAGTGGTTGAAGAATCTGTTTCGGAAATAAATAACCAACTTTTAGGAAATAATGTTTTACCTGCAAAAGAAAGGTTTGTTTTATTATTTTCTTTTAAATCTTTTTTATTTTATATTTGACTCCGCTGATTTTAGACTTACGATTTTAGATCTTGTATATCTGTACTGGCAACACATAAAGTTTTTCAAAATATCATTCTTCAACAATGTTAATTTTTTTTGGACCAATAGCCTCAAATCTTGGCCCACTTCTGTTTCTTATTTATATTAGGGACGACTAGCTGCTCCCGCGACTTCATTCGCATATAATGTTTTTAGTTTTCAAGTTTTAGTTTATAAACAACACCACTGTTCTAACTCAACAATTAATAGTGTAGATATTTTTATTTTATATTTATAAGGAGTAATTACATCATGAAGCACTAAGATAATAAAAAAAGAGGAACTAAAGAAGAGTTTGACAATTAGTCTAATTTATAAAAATTTAAGTAGGTTACGACAATTCGTATGCCGAGTAGTAGCGGCGTAAATGTATCCATCACTTCTCTACGATCCGGGGAAGTAGGCGACAATGGGAGACGCCAGAAAGATCTAATGGCTTGCGATATATGGCGCTTTATATAAATCAGTTACCTACGTTAGAGTCAGACATGACTGATGAGATAGACTGGCTACTGACAGCAATTTCAAAGGTGCTAGACGTCTTGTATTGTGATCGTCAATTTCTGCCAACTTTTTTGCGTTATAGAGTAAAGAGACAAAAGTTTTCAGTCTCTGACCCCCTCCAAACTTTAGAACCGCTCTTGCAAGTCGTGTTGTTTATTGTCATTGCAAAGTTTTAGGTGTTTCGTTTTAAGCAAATTCTTGAGATAAAACACACCCTCGCAAACGTCATAACCGCAATATCTTCTGTGCAGTTTTTTTTAAAGAAACAACTTATTTGAGCCGTGTACCAATATAGCCGTGTACCATGGATATATAATAATCGTGGTAATATATAATATATATATTAAAAGTGACTAGTGACACCTGTCGGTAAATGTAAAAAGAAACCAAGCAAAGAAGGAGCGAAACTAATTGAAACTCATTACAGCCTATAAAAGTCCACTGCTGAACGAAGGCTTCCCCTATAGATTGCCTCATATGGGGAACTTTGCCGTAGTTGCCACGCTTGATAGGCAAGCTGGGTTTCTTGCTGGTTCTTACCAGGACAGAGGTTTTTTTTCTAACCAGTGGTGATTAAACAAAAGAGTGACTTTCAATAAGTATTAAGTGTTTATAATCTATATTGAATAGAAAAGTTTCTGTTTCTGTTATAATTTTGAGATGAAAATACAAAGATGTCGCTGCTCATTTCCTGTATCAGTTTCCCTCTGTCACATCTTACGACACCCACGCGACTTTATGGGATAGTAGGCATTCTTACACCGCCACTACACGAATAAGGGGGTCAGCACACCTAGAGGGAAGCCAGTTAATCAAGCTGGCTAAATTAAGTTCGTACCTCTCAACACGTTCCCAGCGCGTCGCATTTATGCGTCTGTACTTACGAAACTAAATCTAGAGCTAACTTCGCTACTAGGGTGGTTAACATTACCATTTGTTACCATTGCGATGGTAATGTTAACTATACAATTATTTATACTTTTACAGATTTAAGTCTGTCCGATACAAACAAAATTTCATTCGCGATATTTTTAAAAGGAAAATATAAGACTTGTGTTAAAAAAAAACGTAGTTTTTGTCTTCTTTTGAAAATTTCCTTAACAAATAACAATTTACATTAATCAAGTGCAATTTTGTAACAATATCTTTCCAATAAAAAATGTTAGGAAAGTAATACGAATAAAAATATTTGTTTAGTTATATAATCAAAGTCAGAACTTTCTTATAGAAAGTAACTTATGCATATGCAATAAAGTATCATTCGAAATTGTACTTCATTTCAATTCAGTCATTTTCATATTCGGAAAGTTATAAAAAAATATTCTTTTTACAACCACAGTAAAAAATAGGTTAGTATAAAACGAAAAAAAATATTTAAAAATAGGTGGCGCTATTATGACCTGATTTTAAAAATAAAAGACAAAACTTTCGACGCGATTGATGCGTTACGTAACACCTTTTTATCACGTAACCTTTAAATCAGTAAGATAATCCAAACAATTGAAAAAAAGTTTCCAACAATCCAGACGATAGGTATTAAATTTATAGATAAATAACGAAAGGAGTTCGTCGGTAGCTCAGGAAATAAGTGCCCGCATAGCACGCAAAGAATGAAAGTTTGATTTTAACCGAAATCAAAGAAATGAGCATTTTTAAAAATTGATTTACCTTTAACAATTAGCATTAAAATGACACTAAAACTAAATGTATGAAATTCATACGCCAAATGTTAACCATCTAAATGCTAATATAATTATAAATGGGGAAGAGTTGAGTCTTGTTGGTACCACCGTGTTACTTGCAATCACTCTAAACGCGAAGCTTCAATGGGGCCCCGATATACCTATCTAAACTAGCAAGCAGACAGTTCTGCAGCGTATGCTGTAGAAAAATTTAGAATTGATACATTAATTTAGCTGTTGTCTTTTAAAAAATCTACCGCCGTGAAAAAATCCCTAAATTAAAAAATATTAACACGGTCTGTTGAGTTATTAAAAATCGTTGACCATAAAACGTGAGATAAAAAAATCATTCTGGGATTTTATCATCTTAGCGAAGATAGTTTTTCATAGCCTAAAAAAACATTGTAAGTAATAGCAAAATAAATTACCAGAGGTTCGACACTTTTACGCACAAGATTACATCGCCTTTTTATTTCTTTGATTGGCCGTTTTCCTTTTGTTGGTAGATCCAATACTGATACGGTGAAATTGTTGTCTAATTTAAACTCATTTTTTGCAGCTAACTTTGGTAGATTAGGTAGTCTAACAGGTAGAATAATAGCTACATCCTCTGGAATATGATCCATGGTCTGTTTCAATAAAATTATAAATAAATTAGAGATTATAGTGACAAATCTTAATAAAATGTTAAATAAGATTATATTCATAAAGCCAGAGACGTATATCAATATCAAGTACACAAACATGAAAATATTATCGGAAAACCACCAACTTTAAATTCTGAATACATTGATTTATTAATTTATTTTTGATTTATTCATTACAGCAAATCAAAGTCCACTGCTCCATACACAAAGCTCCATAGATTTTCTCATTGGTTGCCTCATAAGAAGAATATTTGTAATAGTTATCACGTTTGACAGGCGAGTTGTTAGTTGACAGCTGGCTAGTTGTTATTAAGAAGACGCTATTGCCTATCTCATATGGTTTATTTCCATCTGTCGCCTCTTAGTACACGACGAAACGGAGTATTGGACATTTTTACGTCATTATACGATCAGCATCACCACACGGTCACTGTGAATTTATTTTATTACAAAACAGTATGACTTTCTACCTTTGCGAAATATTTTCTTAAGCCGCCAGACAATGATGTAACTAAAATATCTGAAAAATGCATATCCTTTTCATGTTGTTTTATATCTCTGATCATCTGAAATAAATTTTCTTCCGGATCTGTCCATTTGAATAATTTCTTTCCAAGCAAAGACGGACCATGTAGAGAATGGTTATCGGATTTCCTTAGGATCCCATCAACAAAACATATTATCATTGTGCATAATTGCTTCAATGTATTCAATAAATTAGTTGAAGGATTTTCTTTAGTGGCGATATAATTACTGGGCATGAATAATAAATTATCGGGGTCATTTTCCGTTTGGTCGGAAAGCGTCTGACATAGAACCTTGATCAAAGCAACTCCATCGCCAAGTGCGTGATCAATTCTAAATATTATGCCGTAATCACTTCTCCCCGTTGCATTATTTCCGATGGTTTGCTTAGTAACAAGAATTTGAAACATGCCTTTATCATGAAATGGTAAAGGATGATAAGATAACTCTGACATTACATCTTCCAAATCCTGGTTGTTAAGTTCAACATTTTTGTTTTTGATATTCAGAATTTTTACATATTCATCTAAATTGATATCGGTGTACTTTCTCCAGTAATACCAACCGAATTTCTCTTGCCGCCTATAAAACATCTTACTGTAACATTTGTTATCAACAATAGCTGTTAGTTTTTGTTTTATCCTTTCAACTAACGTTTCTGAAGAAATTGTTTCGATTACACCCAACACATTTATGACATTTTTGGTAGCTTCGTCTTCTAAGCTCCAGAATACATCAATGCCATCGAGAAATGATACAAAGTTTTTGTCAACTTCCCTTATAATCCAGAAACACACTACTTTATATAGCAAGGCCAATAAAATAAGTGAAACTATTATAGGTGCTGATAATATTAAAATAGCTAAAACTATAATTCTCGACAAGTTTTTTGATTCAGCAAATGTTCTCAATTTCGTATAAACTTTCAAATCCTGCAAAAAAAATCTGTATTAATATAAGATTATGTTTCATTGAAATAAAATAAATGACTGCATAAGAAAAAAATACCCCGTTCAGTGGCGGGTAAGAATACCCACTACCCCATATCTTCCCGTTGGTATCATAAGAGACGACAGACGGAAACTGAGGCAGAAGATAGGCAGCAGCATCTTTCAGGTAACAGCAAAACAACAAGAAAAAAAATTGTGGTTGCCAACCCGCTCGCCAATCGTGGCAACTATGGCAATATACCCCTCATGATGAAAGTTACGAAGAGACGGCCCCCAGTCCACGGCGGCCCCGCTATTCCTGGCTACGGTGGCGACCATGATAACGGCGGGGCAGGGGATGCTAAGAATCTCCGGTGGAAGTTCGGTTGCCACCTAAGACGATTCGACCTGGCAACGTACAACGCACGCACCCTGAGGACTGACGAGAAGATCCTAAACTGAAAGAGATAGACAAGTTGCGCTGGCATATTATAGGATTACCAGAGGTCCGAAGAGAGGGGGAGGACACGGTAATCCTCGAATCCGGCAACTTGTTCTATCACCGGGAGGGTGACCATCTGTCCCAAGGAGGTGTCGTATTTATCGTCCTCAAGTTTATCATTAACAACGTTGTAAAGATTGAGACATCTTTGTCGACAAGTGTGTCGACAAGGGTTGCGTACCTTATACTCAGGATTACCAAATGGTATTTGCTGAAGGTCATACAGGTTTACGGACCAACCTCGGCACATACCGATGAGGAGGTGGAGGAAATGTATGAGGATATATCTAGAGCCATGCATTCCTCCAAAACCCACTATACGGTATTAATGGGAGACTTCAACGCAAAACTAGGCACAAGAGAGAACGATGAGCTGAAGGTAGGGCAATTTGGAATAGGGCAACGGAACCCAAAGGGCCAACAGCTGGCCGACTTCATGGAGAAAGAGGGACTCTTTATGATGAACTCATTCTTCCAGAAGCGGCCCCACAGGAAGTGGACCTGGTCGAGCCCCGACGGTTCGACAAAAAATGAGATTGACTTCATTATGACGACCAGACGACAACTGTTCAGTTATGTCTGTATTAAACCTTTCAGTCGATCGATTCCTAGCCTCCTCCTTATGGATCTATTTTGTCATAATCACCACACTTGGAGGTGGAGTTGATAATTTAAGTGTTAAATGTAAAGTAAGTTAAAATACCCAAAGTAGAAAAATTTAACAACAACCAAAATCGAGACGTGAAGAATCGTCAAGTGCTGTGATTCAGTGGCGTAGCTACCCAGGGGCTAGGCGGGGCAGTGCCCCGGGGCCCCCAAGCTAAAGGGGCCCCTCGGCCTCCAAGAACGACGTTCGAAAAATTATGTACTATCCTAGTTGTATAAAGAATTTTCGAGTTTTAACTTTTTGGCCCCTGACCGCGAACGGCTCGTACTGAAATCACAAAAATTCCTCCCAGTTCCAGAAAATAAATATAACATTGTTAAAGATAATTGTCTACTTCGTTTTATTGTCATTTTTATACAAACGAGCATGCGGCTCACCTGACGGAAAGTGTCGACCACCGCCTATTAACAAATACAACAGCAGGGAAATTACAGGCGCGATGCCGGCTTTTTAAAAAAGAGTAAGCTCGTTTCTTGAAGCTCCCTAAGTCGTATTGGTCCGACAGTAGTGGACCGCCAAACATCCCGTTGATGTGGATTTGTGAAATGCGTGTATGAAATTTTGTGGCTGGAATTAATCCGAACAATTCCTCTGAACACTCTCCGTGGTAAATGCGATAGAAAATGCAAAGGGATGCAACATCTCTTCGTCTCGTGTTTCGTCATCGTCGATCGTCGACGATTCAAGCCTCTCTGCGCTGGATGCGGTCAAGTGGAAGGAGCTGGTACCAGGTAGTCCCGGCCTAGGGATGAGAACAGTATTCCATGTTAGGCCGAACCTGCCCCTTGTAAAGTTGCAAGCAGTGTGCCGGCATAAAATACTGTCCGGCTCTGCTGAGCAAGCCAAGCATTTTAGAGGCCACGTTATTCGATATGTCAACGCCGAAGATTCCGTTACTGGCTGAGGTAACAAGGGTAGTGCCCTGAAATTGATGAGTTACGACAAAGATGTTCTTTTTAGTGGTAAACGCGCAAACTTGTATCTTCAGGACATTGAACTCAATTAGATTTAATCGTCCCAATCAGAGACCTTATCCAGCAAAAACGCGACTTCAGACACAAATTTGTTCCGGTACTCGGCGACGTTTTCCCGAGAAATATAGGCACTGCCGGTGTATAACATAACCAGTGCACGTTACTGGTTTGCAACATATTATTGATAAGCAGAAGAAACAGCGTAGGTGATAGCACGTACTCTAATTGAAAACCAGCTTAAATAAGCTTGTAAATGGAGCATACACCTCCTACTACGACTATGTTGTTCTAATCTGTAAGAAAACTGCTGATCCAGTTGCACAAATTCTCGGGAAGCCCATAGGAAGGGAGCTTCGAAAGAAGCGCTTTGTGCCAAACCCGATCGAAGGCCTTCGCTATGTTCGAACTAACGGCTAGGGTGTCCCTCTCTGCCTCCGTCGATTTATATTTTTTTATAATTATTTATTTAACGGTCACTTTTCATTTGGTGATCCTCAACCTTATGAGCACCATAGTCCGGATTAGACAATGGTCCAATGATCTGTCCGGATGAGAGGACAGCAGGAGGTCCTACAGGGAAGGTGCACGATCCTCCATCCGCGTAGGTGAAGTAAGCATTTGTGTTGGATCATATGGCAAGGCATATAAATATAAGTCATGAACAGATCTTCCCGCGTGATCGGTTAAAGGAGAACCAAGCCATTCAGCGTGGTGGCTGTTAAATTTTTTTTTATAGGATAAGGGTGTCAAACGAGCACACAGTCCACCTGATGGTAAGTGGTTGCTGCGGCCCATAGACATCTACATCTATCCTCTATTACAAATCAAAATGTAGATGCGTTGTCACCCGTGAGGACTAAGATGAAATGCCTCATTTCCAGTAAAAAGGGCCTCCGACCACCTGCACTCACCAAGCGAAACGCAGAGGTAAACCTCTACTTCACGCTGGTTTTCTGTGAGGTCGTGGTACCACCCCGAGCCGGCCCATCCGTGCGACAGCAAAAGCTGCCACGTGGCTCTACCACTGTTAAAAATCACCAAGGATCACGATATCTGCAGGTGGGACGTGTTGTAGCACGGAGCCTGCAGCGATTTGGACGTGATCGATGAGTTAGTCTGTGTCGGCATTACCTATAGAGGCACCCGTAGATGCGAGATTGAGAAGGATAGCTTGGGTGTCGATGCTCAGCCAGGGATTCTGCAATACCAGGGGTGCTGGTACCCTCCTGGGATGGTTTCTTATTTAATTACACTACCATGTTAAGGGGAAGAGAAGTTAGGCCTCCGACCACCTGCATTTAACAGGCGAAGTAAACTTTTACTTTACGCTGGTTATCTGTAAGGTCGTGGGTATCCTTGGTTTGAGCCGGTCGACCCATTGATTACATTCATTCATTACGTCTCTTCATTTCATGTCTTACCGGGTCGGTACTTCATCTAGTCTGGCTCACCTGTGCGACAGCAAAAGCTGCCGTGTGGCCCTTCCACTGTTATGTTGTCTGCCTATCTGTAATCTACTTCGTCATTGTTTATGCATTACTCATAATACTTAGTAGTAAGTAGCTTTTTTATGTACTGTAGTGGGAGACAAGGAGCTGATGATGAAGAAGTTTTGCACCTTTTTAGTATAAATAGGGTCCCAATTTCAGTTTTGCCCCGGGGCCCTTGGTTACATAGCTACGCCACTGCTGTGATCATCTTTTTTTTATAGAATGAGGGTGACAAACATGGACACAATCCACCTGAAATTTACATTTATCTTTGATTAAGAATGCAAAAAGTAAAAAAAATGCTTTGTCACCCCTAAGGACCTAAGATGGGATGCCTCGTTTCCAGTAAAAAGGGTCTCCGGTTCTCTATACTCACCATAGGAAAAACAGCAGCATTAAAATGCTATTTTATGCAAGTATTCTGTGAGAGTGTAATCCCCGGTTGAGCCGACCCATTCGTGCTACAAACAAATAATATGTATTGTGGTTGTAGCACGAATGGCTGCAGCGTGGCTCTACTACATATCACGCCTGCTAATCATAGCGTTTATGGCAAAACTTTTTAAAAATAATCAAGTATCATATTACTTCATGTACAGGCTCATAACGAATGTACATACTGAAATATTTTAGTGAAAAAAGAGGTTCATTTTAATGCTAAAGAAATGTATCTTCAGATGAACTGACTAATTGTATAAACACCGGGAGTAACACAAGCTAATAGCAGGAGTAAGGCCCGTAATACATCATGCCTGTTGGCGATGCTAGGCGCTAGTAAGCTGGTATGCGGGCTACTAGAGAAAATGTAACAAAATGATACAAATGTCTGTCTGCTGGCTAATTTGGAGAATGGTTTTATTAGGCGCTAGTGACGTGTTACTTGAAGGTCACAATATTAATATTTATAAAGAAATAAATAATATTACAATAACACCCGCTATAATAATAATAAAGAAAACTTTGATAACAAGAAAAGTAATAGACGCAAAAGAAACATCAATATGAATGAGAAATTGGATTACTAAGACGGACAGTGCGAACATTAATTTAGTTGAAAAGTGAAAAGAAGACCTAGAGGGGTAGAAGGTTACAAAAAATCACTTTTCCGTGCGGGGGAAAAAAGCAATCGGCTTGAAATGTGCTGGAATGCTTCGTATTGACACTTAAGCTTTGTCAGATACTTGATACACATGCCAATAGCATGTTTTTGCCAGTATCTGGTATGCTTTTGTGCAAGCATCGAACAACAAGCATCTGTATCACTAATCTTATTGGCGAATTCTTGGCAAGTTACTCTATTCCACAGTGTCTGTATTTCATTCGTGGGACAAGTTATACGCTTTTATAACATAATCTTTAACAGTGGTAGAGCCACGCGGCAGCTTTTGCTGTCGCACGGATGGGCCGGCTCGAACCGGGGTAGTACCACGACCTCACAGAAAACCAGCGTGAAGTAGAGGTTTACCTCTGCGTTTCGCTTGGTGAGTGTAGGTGGCCGGAGGCCTTTTTTACTGGAAATTTTCTTAGTCCTCACGGGTGACAACGCATCTACATTTTGATTTGTAATAGAGGATAGATGTAGATGTCTATGGGCCGCAGCAACCACTTACCATCAGGTGGACTGTGTGCTCTTTTGTCACCCTTATCCTATAAAAAAAATAATCTGCCCATGAAGCTCGTCTTCTGAGCAAAATTTTGGTGCAATAAAGAATAAAATCTTAAATAAATAATAATAGAAAATTTACCATGTGTTGTACTATAAGTCAGACGTTTAGGTAAACGAATAATGTAAACAAATTGTTGGCCGAATTGAGCAATTTAAAATCCCACTGGGTTTTGTACCAGTATTTTCCGTATTTATGGTAAATAAAGTGCGAAACAAAAAGAGCAAAATTCACAGCCCATGTGCGGTTCACTGGGAACTAGGCTCCTCTCCTTCCTTAGAGGCTTGCAGAGCAATAAATCGGCCGGTGATAATGCAGATGAATCAAAAAATTGCGAGGAAACATATAGGTTTAATTTTAGCCCCTGAGCTACTAGGGTTCAGCTTGCTATACATATAATGTAAAGAACAGCGTACATGCGTCCCATTTCTGTGACGACTGCTGTTTTGGGACAGGGAAGAGCTCGCTGTGCTGAGCCAACGCGGGACACATGTTCACATGTCCTCAAAACTTTTTTTAACTTCTCAGGCATGCAGTTTTCTCACGATGTTTTTTTTACTGCCGAGCACGTGGGGTGGTGGTGGCGTTTAAAGTTTGCAATTAACAATTCCATTGTACCGGCGAGAATCGTATTCGAATTACTCACGTATAATGTAATATACGTTTGGATTGGTTCGTTTTGCGACTCTTACTAGGTAGGTAGACTCTTCCTACTTAAAATTAAAATAAATATTATGCCATGCACATGCCTTTCTTGCTCTATGCAGTATTAATGGTACTTTTTTCTGAAAGACCTTTTCCCTCTATTGTTCTAGAAATGAAACCGAGGATATCACAAGAATTTTTTTTTATAGGATAAGGGTGACAAACGAGCACACAGTCCACCTGATGGTAAGTGGTTTCTGTGGCCCATAGAAATCTGCATCTATCCTCGATTACGAATCAAAATGCAGATGCGTTGTCACCGTGAGGACTAAGATGGAATGCCTCTATTCCAGTAAAAAGGGTCTCCGGTTCACTACACTCATCATACGAAACACAGCAGCATTAAGCTGCTATTTGACGCTGGTATTCTGTGAGAGCGTGGTCCTTCCCCGGTCGAGCCGGCCCATTCGTGCTACAACTATACCAGTAATATAGCTGCAGCATGGCTCTACCACGTGACACGAATACATATTTTGTCCCATGGCTGGGCACAGGCCCCTCTACTGAGTGTGTTTTAGGGCAGGGAAACATCCGCGTCGTCGCCGCATTGCGTGTTTGCGATTTTATCATGTCCACGAATCAGTTTTTTTTTTAGTTTTGACCAAGATTAATGTAAAAGTAATTTAACTTTTGACCATGAATAAACCGTTTGTAAAAAAGAGTGTATGATATTTTACAAAACGTTTATTGCTAATTGATCATAGGACAAAATAGTTTTTTCTTAGACCGACTATACTAGTTTTTCATAAGCATGAGAGAAAGTTATGACTAGATGTCCGCGGCTGTGGGGTGGCCTAAGAATTATTAAGTATTTTGTGCCAAGGTCCACCCCAGTCGCAACTCAACATACTGTCACTGATATTACTTTTTAAATATCAGTAATCGAACTAGTTTAACCCACGAAAAACTAGTTTGTCCTAAAATTGGATGTGGCCCGTAAAAAGTACTTTTAACTGCAGGTTTTGATCAAAACCAAGCCAAAATATTAGAGCGACATGATGTTTGGTTTTTGTTTTTGACAAGAAGACTATTTAATCACACAAAGTACGCAAACTTTTACTGCACGTATCGAACAAGGCTTCAACAACCTACTTATGATGGAAAATACACCCAAATTCTACAGTTTGGTGAAGCGAAGTGCTAGACATGGCGGCACACTTCGCAACAGTATAGTGAAATTATTACTAAAAGTAGGAAACCACAAGCGACAAGAACGCTTGATGGTATATTCTTACCTCAATATTTATTGCCGCATAAAGCACACTCGCAACAATCACTCCAATGATAGGAGCTAAATTAGTCATTTCCATGGATACAATTCGTGTTTTATCTAAGGAAACATTCGAATGTATAAATACTTCTTGAGATATTTTTACACAGTATTTTGTATTGTCTACTCCCGCAGGGCAGTTCATCAAAATACTTGCACTTTCAACTTTGCTACCATTAGGAAACATTTTGTCTGGCTCACAGACAACCTAAGAACAAACTGAAGGAAATAAGCTGAGTGTTGTGAAGTATTCTCGTGAAACCTTATTAGTTAAATCAGATTCTTAGTTTTTATCTAATTAACTTGTTAGATAAAGTAGTCTTGGAATATTAAACAGTGCAAGGTATGCAGGTATTAAGTCGCATTCCTAGTACAATTCTATTTTTAAATAACCGCAAATACACCAATTCGTCGTTTCATAAGTCTTCTTCAAAATAAAATATTAAAAAATATAAAAGCTACCTTTTTAAGTTTCATCCCTTTTTCGGACCGGAAGAGGCTGATGTCTCCCAATGGATTGTCCATTGGGAGACATGCTGCTGCTGCTACAACTGCTTTACCAGTTGTCTTGCAATTTTGCACGCTGCACCTCGTCGACGGCTTTGACGGCTCCGTGGCGCAGTGGCTTAGCAATCAGTTGTTGCGCTGGGGGCCGCGGGTTCGAATCCCGCACGGAACAAGTATTTTTATGGCCTACAAATAATTGTTCCGGGTCTGGATGTTTGTCTTTGTGCAATTTATGTTTGTAAACTGCCTCCACGACACAGGAGAAAATCCTAGTGTGGGGGTAACGTTTTATTTTAAAAAAAAGGTCTGTAAATTTATATATAGATAATACACATATGTACTATAAACGACATGGTTATACCGCTATCTATCGGAAGAGGAAGTCATGAAACTTTCTGGCATTTCCCAAACGCCTCTAACGACGTCCACAGGACGAAAAAGGCTAATCGGTTTATTTATGCGCCCCACGCGGTTTCTTTCCAACAAACTTTTTTTTCTAGTTCATCTGATGGTACGAGTAAATAACTACTGTAACCGTAAGTTAAGTCTATAGGTCAGTATCCACTTAACATCAAGTGGACTATTTACTCGTTTGTCATCTTTACTTCTATAAAAAGACTACGTGGCAGAAAATACCGTCTAATGAATGTCAGCATAACTCTTTCAAGTAATTTTTCTCACAGAATCATTATCATCGTCAACACAGCCCTTCACAAGTCCACTGCTAAACATAGGCCTCCTCCAAGGAATACCACAAAGCACGATCCTGAGCTATTTGCATCCATCGACTTACTGCGTGTCTTACCAGGTCATCACTCCATCTAGTGGGGACCGCCCTATACTTCACCTACTGGTACGTGGCTGCCACTCGAAAACCTTCTTTCCCCATCGGTTGTTGGTTCTTCGAGCTATATGGCCGGCCAATTGCCACTTCAGCTTACTAATCCGTTGCGCTATGTTCTACTGCGGATATGCTCATTTCTAAGTTTATCATGCAAAGAAACCATGAGCATAGCCCTCTCTATAGCTCGCTGAGCCACCCTGAGCATCCTTCTTACGCGTAGCAGTGAAGACCACGTCTCAGATCCATAAGTCATTACTGGCAACACACACTGGTTGTACAATCTCGTTTTCTGGTTTTGAGGTATATCTAACGAGAAGATGTGTCGTAATTTCCGGAACGCTGCCCAGCCGAGTTGAATCCGTCGATTAACCTCTCGGTCAAAGTTGGACTTACCTAGTCGGACTATTTGTCCCAGGTAAATATACTTGTCAGCAACTTCGAGCTTAGTGCTCCCAACAACCACAGACATAGGTGATAACCTTAACATAGGTGGTGTAACCTTTAACAGTGGTAGAGCCTCGCGGCAGCTTTTGCTGTCGCACGGATGGGCCGGCTCGAACCGGGGTGGTACCACGACCTCACAGAAAACCAGCGTGAAGTAGAGGTTTACCTCTACGTTTCGCTTGGTGAGTGCAGGTGGCCGGAGGCCCTTTTTACTGAAAATGAGGCATTCCATCTTAGTCCTCACGGGTGACAACGCATCTACATTTTGATTTGTAATAGAGGATAGATGTAGATTTCTATGGGCCGCAGCAACCACTTACCATCAGGTGGACTGTGTGCTCGTTTATCACCCTTATCCTATAAAAAAAACATGGACATTAAACATGATCTTTGTTTTCTCTATGTTCATCTTAAGACCTATCCGTTGGGAGACACTATTGAGGTCATTGAGCATAGTCCTTAGGTCCTCCAGCGATTCTGTCATAAGGACTATATCGAGGAAGGTGAAAAATGTACTCGCTATTGATGTTAATACCATATCCTTTCCAGTTCAGTAGCTTGAAAACGTCTTCCAATGCAGCGATGAAGAGTTTCGGGGATATAACTTCACCCTGTCTTACACCTCTTTGCAGTTGGATAGGTTTCATACTCTGGTTCTGTACTCAGATAGCCATCGTAGCCCTATTGCACAAACACTTCAGCACTTCGATACACTGACAGGCAACTTGGCACCGCTGAAGGGACTGTAGCACTGCCCAAATTTCGATGGAATCAAAAACTTTCTCATAGTCCACATACGCAAGGCAGAGTGGTAGATTGTCCTCGGTCTTCCGTACAATTTGCCGAAGGGTATATATGTGGTCTATAGTACTAGTCTTTTCGAAAATCGGCTTGTTCGTGAGGCTGGAAGTCGTCGAGTGTTTTTGAGAGTCATTACGAGTCGTCGACGACTCGTAACGACTCGTAATGACTCTCGAAAGCAGGACTTAGACGCGGCTCAGAAGGAAAATTGGTCTGTAGTTCTTCAAGAGAGCGTTGTCGCTTTTCTTGTAGAGCAAGACCACCGTACTTCTGCTCCACGCCTCCGCAATAGCCCTACCATGGAAGACGGAATTAAAGACCTAAAGAACTTCAAGTACCGGTGTTCTACCCGCTTTCAGAAGCTCCGATGTAATTCCATCCTCACCTGGGGCCTTCCCAATTTTAAGGTGCTGGAGAGTCACTTTAATAATATATAATCTAAGTATTTTTTGTTTTTTTGCTGTTATCAGAATCCATCAACCCATCTTCTGCCTCAGTTTCCCTCTGTCGCCTCTTACGACACCCACAGGAAGATATTGGGTAGTAGGTATTCTTACCCGTCACTACGCGGTTATAAAATTTCTCTAAGATATCTATAAAATATCTATACTCTTACAGAATACCAGCGTGAAATAGCAGATTAATAATGCTGTGTTTCTTATAGTGAATGTAGAAAACCGTAGATCATTTTTACTGGAAACCAGTATTCCATCTTAGTCCTCAGAGATGGTAACATATTTTGATTCTTAATTGAGAGTAGATTAAGATGTCTATGGGTCACAGTACCCACCTACCATTAGTTGGACTGTGTACTTGTTTGTACTAAAAAAAATCAATATTGATTGCTAATCACTATGGTGGAACTTCACTACTAGAATTAATCTGAACAATTGCTCGATACACAACATGTGGTAAATACCATAAAATGGCAAATGATATAATGCTTCCAAGAAAAGCAGTGGATCGAACTGATCAGCAAGAACTCGGTTGACAAAGATGGTAGACGCTATTTGGTGCTAAATTTGAAGAAATAGTTCCATCCCTAAGGGTCGCAAAATAGAGAATAAAGTATTGATGTCATTATTTAGACGAATTTGAAATTAAAGAATAATAAAAGAATTTATATTTCTATGATCTAAATCCACTAAAAAGGGAAAATATTTTTACATGGATTTTAATTATTTTATACACTATGACTTAGCACCGACTATAGAATGAGATTTTTTTATTATTAGGTTCTTTCCTTTTTTGTTTTTTTTTTTGTTTCAGCAGTCGGCTTCACCTCGCACACTCTTGAACGTGCGTACCATAACCACACTGCGACTTTTGTATACGTGAACTTATTTGAATACATATTATGTGAATAGGATGAAATGTTACTTAATGAAAGTGAACACAAGTAAGACGAAAGTGATGGTTTCTGAAAGAGAAGAAAGTAAAACGTTATAAAATAAGAATAGAAGGGGAGTTGATTGAGCAAGTGGATGAGTTTGTATATTTGGGATGTGTATTTAGCAGGGATGGTAGATATGATAAGGATATAGAACGACGAGTGAACGCAGGAAATAGAGTGAAAGAGGCTCTATACGATAATAGCATGAAAGTCAGAATGTGTCAAAAAAGTCACGTATGGCAATTCATAATGCTGTGGGGTCAATAAGGAGTATGTTAAGGCTGAATCTGAATGACAGGGTGAGGAATTGTGGTGTGTGTGCGGTGGTTTGGTCATGTAGAAAGAATGAACGAGGAAGAGTGACAAAGCAAACTTATGTTGCAGAAGTGAACGGCAGAGTCGGAAAGGAACGGCCTAGACGAAGGTTTATCGACCAAATAGGCGATATATTGAATATGGGCCAGATTAGGATTACCCTTAATTGACGGGTACATGCGTTACTGTATGCGTAGATATATGGATGTAAAGGAGGTGACATCACGTATGTACCCCTCTGGGTGACATACATGAGTGATTATGTTATGTTTATGTTTATTATGTAATTAAGGACTTTTTGTCGCTAGTTGTAAATTGAATGAATTTAAAAGAAAAACTTAACTTATTATATAACGTTATATTATTATTTGTGGACATCGGATATTAATAAAAAAATATACTCGTATGAAACACACTTGCAGATGATATTTTTTATTCAAACAATTTCTTATATATCTATTTATACATGTGATATTTAGATACATTGCTAAACAATAATTAATAATTTATTATTTTTACACAACGTGGTCCCTATGGTTGTGGTGCTAATAACTTACAATACCACAATAAAATAGAATAGGTTTCGTAGTTAATCTTTGAATTGTTAAAAAGTAATTTTGGACAAGAATTGCTCGGAGTTTCTCTGCGTGATATAATTTGCAATGAGGATATTCGCAGTATAATCACAGTAACTGACACAGCCCAACCAGCTATATAGCTTGAAGAACCGAAAACCGGTGGGGATGAAAGGGAAAGGTTCTCGAGCAGCAGCCTCGTACTGGTAAACAAAGTGTGGAATGGCCTCCTACTACATGAACGTAGACGACGAAATGGTAAGAGATGCTCTGATATAGCTCAGGAAAAACTCCGGCATAGCCTGTGTTGTGGCATTATTTGGGGTAGTTTTATGTTTATTTATTTTTGTTACACAAAAATGTACAAGGGCGGACTTAACGCCTTAAGGCGTTCTCTAGTAGTCATGATATAAGTAAGCAGAGAACACTACTTTGGAGTTCACAATTGAACTCGTGATGCGCTAAATTGAAGATGATGACGATCATGAACAATTTTTAAATATTCTACATACTACTTTTATAATATTATTTAAAAAAATATAACACTTATGTTATCTTCTTCTGCCTTTTGATAAAGCATAAAACATTGATCCATATGAAAGAAGCAGAAGCCACATAGACAACCCTCAAATTAGAGGGTACGAAGAAGAAGTTTATTGTCTGCCCTGGAATCCAAAACACTTGGTTGGCAATAAATGTCATCCAATACTTCTCTCTGAGCTCTTCAAAGATATCTTCTTTGCGTTCAGCTATACCCATTACTATAAATAACAAAAATAAATAATATAAACAGTTGTATATTAAAAGTTTTCGAGTGTCAGATCACACTAAGTGGAGTGATGAACTAATGAAATACGCACGCTGACAGCCCCGTGGCGCAGTGGCTTGGAGTTGCCGTGCTGAGTGCCACCGCACCGGTTCGAATCCAGCACGAAACAAGTATTTGTATGACCTACGAATAATTGGTCAAGGTCTAGTGTTCTGTTGTTTGTTCTTATGCAATTTATGTTTTTAAGTTGCCACCACGACATAGGAGAAAATCATAGTGTGGGAGTAACGTTTTAAAAAAAGAAAAAGAGATATAATCGATGGTTGCACGTGGCTCAGGACCGTACTTTGTGGCAATCTATGGGGAAGGCTGTGTTCAGCACTTGTTCAGGACTTGTGATGGGTTGTAATGATAGTGATAGTGATAATAAAACGACTTAATTTAAAGGAACTGAGAACAGACTCACAGACTCTACAACTCACAATTTGTGTATCACAAAGTTATCTAGGTCTCAATGGGAGAGATAGACGGGGCGTACAGCGCGATTGTAGTTGACCAAAAAACACCAAAAATACCTCTGAAATACAGAGTACGCGTTTGTCACATATTCTGGAAGTCTAGCCTCGCAGCACGCTCGAACAGAGTAGGCACCACACACCACAATAATACAATTTATGTAAAATCACCCAGTCCAATCCGAAATATCATATTCTTAAAACACCAGTACCCTAATGGCAGGGCGCGGACCGCGAACTCGACAGGTCGTGGGTTCGAATCCGTCATTCGACTACTGTCGTGAATCACTTCTAACACAAGCATTTTAAGCTTACCAGAAGTGATTAAAGGGAACATTCATCATCATCATCATCATCATTACAGCCCTTCACAAGTCCACTGCTGAACATAGGCCTCCCCCAAAGAATGCCACAAAGCACGGTCCCGAGCCACCTGCATCCATCGACTTCCTGCAAATCTTACCAGGTCGTCACTCCATCTAGTGGGGGGACGCCCTACACTTCGCCTGCCGGTACGAGGCTGCCACTCGAGAACCTTTCTTCCCCATCGGTTGTCGGTTCTTCGAGCTATATGGCCGGCCCATTGCCACTTCAGCTTACTAATCCGTTGGGCTATGTCGGTCACTCTGGTTCTACTGCGGATATCCTCATTTCTGAGTTTATCACGCAGAGAAACTCCGAGCATAGCCCTCTCCATAGCTCGCTGAGCGAACATTAGTAATGTTTAATAACATTACTAGTTTTTTTTTTAAAATAGAATATTTTTATAATTTAAAATACATGTCCTTACTACAAGTTTAAAGGCTTTATACATCCCACTACTGAAAACAAGTCTTTGATTTCTGAGGGTCTGTTTTGTTCATGTTGTCTTCGAATATAGTTTTTTAATTTGTCAGACATCAGGTTTCCTTACGTAATTTTTTTCACCGCCGAGTACGAAGTAAATCAGCACTTAAAATTGCGATTAACAATTTCATTGGTGTCTATGTACTATATTACTTACATCGAGCTCTACTTGACTGAGCTACCACGGCAGTATTAGTAGAACAGAAAAAATACTAGTTTTCGATTCCGAACGTATTATAATCGTCCTAGTTTATCTCGACAATTAAATAAAATTCCTCGAATATTTCGTAATAATCTAACATCGAATGCCGGGAAGATAATTACTGTGAATTCCATGCATCATTTCTGCTTTCGCTTGTTGATCACTCTGATTGTAATTGAAAATTGTAAATCGTTAAAGTTACGGGATGACAGGACTATATGGAGAGATGGGAAGAGAAGCAGGAAGTCGATGGATGGAGGTGGCTCATGACTGTGCTTTCTTGGGGGAAACCTTTCTTCAGCAGTAAAATTTTGAAGGGCTGTAATCTTGTAATGATGATGATGATGATGGTGGTATGACATCTAATTTGCTAATATTATGAAGACGTTAAATATAAATTATATTATAATTAAAGTATGATTATCAAAAAGAAACTTACGAGTATAAAACGCGCCAAGCAGGATAGGCGTCATAATTACTTGATCGGACGCAACTTTTGTGGCCACCACCCTTACAGACGTGCCCACAAATTTTCTGTCAAGAAATTTGTACCTATACGGAAGAAACAACTTTAATTAATATATATATATATATATATATATATATATATATATATATATATATATATATATATATACCTATATATATATATATATATATATATATATATATATATATATATATATATATACCTATATATATATATATATATATATATATATATAAAACGGAGATTTTTTATAGTTTTGAGTGACTTGTAAAATTGTGATATTTTGTTTAATATATTACTGATCCTTAATGTGATATAAATAGAAGTATAAAATTATATATAATACACATAACATTTAAAAATATAACTATTACAAAGAATACAAAAACTAAAGATTTTAATTATCATATAGCCCTACTCCCCATGGTATCTTGCCAAGAACGCTGGCTGGGTTTCTTCGCTGAATGGCTATACTTAGACTTTGAGCGAGAAAAAACCAGCCCTCTTATCACCAGCAGCAACGGCCAGTCGCGGATAGAGTTCCTTTAGGAACTTCGCTGCACGTGGACCCTACGGACCGACAATCTCTACAGAAAATGGCACAAATATGTAGTCATCTCTCAAAGACTCATATTTGCGCCACTTAGTTCAGCTGCCTCTGATGCCGCCCCGGCTCTAAACTAGGTACCCTTGAGATGAGAGGTCGCCAAAGTGTCTACGCAAGTAGCACCCCACACTACCCATGTCCTGTTTAATTTTCTTCTGTCGCCTGTTACACACAGTAACTATACGGTATCCTGTACTTTTATTAGAAAATGGTATCGTTATTAAAAACAGAGAAACTACGACCGATAAAATCTCTTAAAACTAATTTATACGTGGTAGAGCCATACTGCAGCTATATTATGGTTGTTGCACGAATGAGTCAGCTCGACCGGGGAAGGATCATTTTCTCATAGAATACCAGCGTCAATTTGCAGATTAATTCTGTTGTTTCGTATGATGAGAGTACCCTTTTTACTGAAAATGAGGCAATCCACAACATCTGCACACAACGCATCTGCATTTTGATTCTTAATTGAGGATATATGTAGATGTCTATGTGTCACAGCATCCACTTACCATCAGATCAGATTGTATTTGTCACCCTTATTCTTTAAAATAAGTTCTTGATAATAATTTCACATTCAGTCCACTAATATGTCATTTTTAATTAGATACTTATAAAAATGTCATATTATTGGATTTTTTTTATAAGTAACTAGAGTTCAAATGTAACAATCAACTGATATTAACTGTTATCTTAGCTACTCGGACGGTACGGTGTACAAACTCTCTTTTATTCATAACAACAGGATGTAATGCGCCATTGATTAAATTGTCGTGACGCGTTACACCCAGTAGAGTCCAGCAGTGCGTTAACGCGATGTGCATAGTTTTTATGCTAATCATTCACTTTACATTGGCACAATTGTTGCATTAATGATAAACATACATGGCCTAGTTTGACTTGGAACTCGGCTAATTTTTCATTACCGTTTTGTTTGTGTCTCTTAATACCTGTTGATACCTAATGACAGTCATTATTTTCATCGTAATTATTATATTAATAGGTTTTACTATCCGCTTCGCCCGTGTGCAGGTAGGAAAACGACATGTTTTCGAAAAATTACTGCAAATGTGTTATTCCAAGATCTACTCGTAAAACAGTATAATGTTACAGAATAATGTTCCAGATTAACACCACTGGAACTGTTAATTTTTCCGGAATAAAAGTAAGTTATTTTACTTTCCAGGCTATAAACTATTCCATGTGCAAGAAATCATGTCGATCCAATCTTAACACACTCATATTTATAATATTAGTACAGATACCACTTTCAACTTTGCTTATGATTGTATATATTCCCATTCGCAGTACCAATAAAGTACAATCGTATGAGCTTTATCGATATGCTTTCTACAGTCCTCTTTATATCCAGGGCCATGTTGTCTTACACTGGTCTGCTTATTGTACACTGCCTTTTGGCCAATATGGTTTTGAAACATTATTAAAAAAAAGGTGAAAATTGCCATTAAAAGGGTTAAGTGTTACCATCTGAAAGATTTTCTTCTGCAACTAATCATTATAAGAGTTAGAGGAATATATAATACCCCTTGATATATTTTAGCATATTTGATTACCCTGGTTTTATGTTATATGTGCCGTTATTATAATATCTTTGCAACGAAATTTTGAGCATAGATATCTTCACAGATCTTAAAAAAATGTCTTTGTATAGGGTTCAAATGAGGGTCTACAGAATCGAAACGTAAACACTGTTACACCGTTGTCCAAAATAGTTTTCATTTTCTTGAATTGAACTATGTAGTTGAAAACATTTCTTTTTTTAATTAATTAGAGTTTAAAAACTTCGAACTTATTAATTGTCTAATCATTAATGTTAGTCTAGTTTATTTTCATCCTTATTTCCTTTTTAACATTGCTAATTAATTGCTAGGTGTAAGTAAACCATTACACGACGACTTTTAATCATAGTCGAGCCATACAGCAGCTATGTTATGGTTGCAGAACAAATGGCTCGACCGGGGGAGGACTACGTTCACACATAATATCAAAGTAAAACAGTGTTTCGTATCTTGGGTGTAGAGAACCAGCAACTCTTTTTACTGGAAACAATGCATTCTATCTAAGTCCTCAGGAGTGACAACGCATCTATATTTTGATTTTTAGCGGGGGATAGATGTAGGTGTCAATTGGCCACAGCATGCATTTACCATTAGGTGGACTATGTGCTTGTTTGTCACGTATATTCTATAACCTGACACACGTCGACTCAACACAATCGTCACTGGTGATATTGGACGACAATGAAACTGTTTGTACTCCCCGGTTAAGTGACAGTGTCCAAACTACGATACTTAGTCTGAATAGAGTCAGTATAGACTTTAGTATAAGTAACTTTGACCATGTGAACGTCTTAGTAATAATTTAAAATTAAAAATTTTGTACAGCCGACTTCAATATAAGTTATTAAGAATAACTCAAACACTATTAATCAGACCTTGATCAAATTCATATGGAACCACACGAGAAGTACCAGCTTTCAAATAAAAAAAAAGAATCATCGAAATCGGTTCACCCAGTAAAAAGTTATGAGGTAACACACATAAAAAAAAACATACAGTCGAATTGAGTACCGTCTCCTTATTGGAAGTCGGCAGAAAAAATATATTCGAACAACAAATATGATGAATTAATAACTAAACTTTTTAACTGATTAATATTTTGTTATTTTGTATACAATACTGTACGTACCAAAAATAAAGAGTAGGCGCATATAAGCAACTGCCTACAGCAACAATGCGCCCTGCCGCTGCTAGGTCGAGCTCCGGCTTCTCAGGCTGAAAAATATTAATGTTATCTTTATAAATGAAAATTACCTACGTGTCACAATGTTTGCCCGCGATGAACTTCTAAAGTAATGAACTAATTTCAATAAAATTTTGCACATTGTGTGCAGTTTAGTTCAACTTGAGAGATTTTTATTTTTCATTAATTTTTTTTACGAAATTAGGGATTTTTTGTAGGACTAAGGATCATCGAGGCATAACAACGTCTGCCTGGCCAACTAGTAAATTATATTTATTATAACACTTTCAGAAAATCTTTTAGCCTCTTACTCGTTAAAAATTTAATAAGTATGCAAGTTTTGAACATAGAAAGAATGAGAGTTTAGTAAAACTTTATTTTAGATTATATTATTTATTCTGTATCATTTGTTTAACAGATTTTTCCTTCCAACTTGATAATCATGTAAGGTTTCGAAAACAAATAAGATGTAAATCATTTACAATTTCAATTCACTTCCCAACAGGTAGCGTGGCCGAGCGGTCTAAGGCGCTGGTTTAAGGCACCAGTCTCTTCGGAGGCGTGGGTTCGAATCCCACCGCTGCCAATTTTTTTTAATGTTGTATTTGTTTGTAAATTAGACAATAAACGATAATTCAAAGACATATTATATTAATAAGCAAATAATAAAAATAAACCAAAATAATATATAATTAATACATTAAATATTATACATTACTTTATATATAAATATTTTTATGTCATATATGTATAATGTATTCTTTAACTTTTACATACTTACATCTTCTCGGTTTTATATCTGTGGTGATTACTGTGTTTTTAAATTTTCTTAAAACACAGTTATCACCACAGATATAAAATAGAAACAAAAAACTTATTACCTATAAAAAAGTTATTTGGGTACCTGCATATTATTTGTGCATATTATTTTGTGTAAATACGATTTGCTCTACATAAGAAATTGTATTATGACCGTAATTTTAATTTATGCAATGTAATACGCCATTTCTAAATCTATAAATATGCCGTAGTTCCTATATTATAATGTATAGTCCTAAAGGTTCTCGAGTGGCAGCCTCGTACCGGTAGGCGAAGTGTAGGGCGACCGCCCACTAGATGGAGTGACGACCTGGTAAGACATACAGGAAGTCGATGGATGCAGGTGGTTCAGGACCGTGCTTTGTGGCATTCCTTTGGGGAGGCCTATGTTCAGCAGTGGGCTTGTGAAGGGCTGTGATGATGATGATGATGGTAAAAGGTGGTAGGACTTGTGTTTGTTGCCTTTGGTGGAATTGCATTGTTCATTTTGATGTGAAATGTAAATCTCTGGTTCACACTTTTAAATTTAGACATGTAAGTACTATGCTATAATAATTGGTTTCGAGAAATATTGTTGTATTTATAATTTTTTTTTTATAGGAGAGGGGGCAAACGATTGACTACCGCCGCCCATGAACAACCGCAACACCAGGGGAATTGCAGATGCGTTGCCGGCCTTTTAAAAAGGAGTAGGCTCTTTTCTTGAAGGTCCCTAAGTCGTATCGGTCCGGAAAAATCGCTGGTGGTAAACTATTCCACAAGGAAGTTGTGCGAGGAAGAAAACATCTTCTAAATCGCACAGTGGTGGACCGCCAATCATCCAGATGGTGTGGATGGTATCGGGAGTTCTGCCGCGATGTGCGTTCGTGAAATTTGGCGGCTGGGATTAATCCGAACAATTCCTCAGAGCACTCCCCATGGTAAATGCGAAAGAAAATGCTAAGAGATGTAACATCTCTTCGCAGTGCCAATGAGTCGAGCCGATCAGAAAGGACTCGGTCGTCGACGATTCGAGCCGCTCTGCGCTGGATGCGGTCAAGTGGAAGAAGCTGGCATTGGGGAGCCCCTGCCCAGAGATGGGAACAGTATTCCATGTGAGGCCGAACCTGCGCCTTGTAAAGTTGCAGGCGTTGAGCCGGCATGAAATACTGTCCCGCTCTGCTGAGCACGCCAAGCTTTTTAGAGGCCAACTTGGCCTTCTCTTCCAAGTGACCACGAAACTGCACGCTACTCGATATGCCGACGCCGAGGATTCCGATACTGGCTGAGGCAACAAGGGGAGTACCTTGAAACTGAGGAGATACGACAAAGGGGTTCTTTTTAGCGGTAAACGCGCAAACTTGTGTCTTCTGAGGATTAAACTGGACTAGATTTAGTCGCCCCCAATCCGAGACTTTGTCCAGCAAAGACTCGACTTCAGACACAAGTTTGTTCCGGTACTCGGTGACGTTTTCCCGAGAAATATTGGCACGGCCGGTGTATAGAGCATCACCAGTGATGTCATCCGCATAGCAATGAATGCTACCGGCTTGCAACATATCATTGATATGCAGAAGAAACAGCGTTGGAAATATATAAATTATTATTATATGGGATATTTCTATTCCGCCTAGTTGGAATGCATAAATAAATACCTAAATAGCATGTAAACGTATACTATAAACATAAACATAAAAAAGATCGAACAAAATATTTTCCTACTAAATTTAATAAATGCAATAAAATATAAATAAATAAATAGCATAAACCCAACTAGACGGAAGCCCTCGTTAAGGGAGACCAAACGGCCGAGAGTTAGGGAGAGTAAGAGAGTTGTTAGGTATATCATTATTTTGAAATATCTGCTTATTCTTATCACCAGACCGGTTTCGTCTGTTAAGGGTATTTTCAAAAGGTTTATCATTACTGTTACTTAAAATATTATTCCATCTTATCAGCTTAATTCACATATTATGTATGTAGAGACTGTAAACATCTTACTGCAAGAGCGTAGTTCCATTGGTAACACTTTTACAAATGCGGGGAGGTGCATTTGTAAAAGGGTATGTTAAACTGTAACCTAGAGTTTATATTATATTTGTGTATTCTTATTTGCATACCGAGTTGATTTTGTTGAAGGTCTGCTGGGAGAGTTCTGCAGCTGTATAGAACGTGGCGTATACAAGCGTGTTCGTGAGAACCGGCCGTCGCTGCAACGAGCGCCGCCACCAGCTAACCAGCTTTGACATCATTCATGCAGTCCAAGCTCTCAATTTGTCTGTTCATGACCAAATTTGTTTTATGTTAGAAGAACTAAAATCATAATCCGTAAAATTACGTCTATGAGCATGTATTTTATCCGTATTGCACTGGATTTTCTAACAATGGAAAAATGTCCGTAATTGCCAAGCATAATTTGATTAAAAAATTACATCAGCAATGGGCTTATTTATTAAATTTAGCATCAGATCCATTGCAATTTGCAACTGCATCGCCGCTTCCCGTCATCAACGGTTCATATGTACAAAGAGTGTAGTGCAGTAGGCAGGTACTATACCACTACTTTTATAATAGTTTACGAAAACTATACTTATATATTAGTCTATGAACTATACTACGTGTACCTACTATTATTCATTATATGTCTATACACTAATTGAATAACACGCCATCTATTGGAGCATACGAGATTTTCTTGGTTTCTCCTTGTCATCTTTTATGACATGCGTGATACAAGATGGAGTGTTTAACACTTTTTTTGCCGCAGCCAATACAAAAATAAAAACGATCATTTTTATTAAAATAATATACATTTATATATTATACTAATCTGTACACATATCTAAGAATCTAATGTTAGTCCATGTTCTTAGCAAAAGAATGCAATAAACAAATATGCAAGGTGATAGCGTTATTTAGTAATTCTGTAAGATAAAAAAGTTATAGGTAGTTTAATGTTTAGTTACATTTTCAGTAATATGACATTAGCTGACCGTAACGTCTACATTTAAATATATGAGCATTCTCACAATACGTCCTCGCACGATATAACAGGATCAATAATGTGGTTTATATTTCATTAGTCATGAACCCCTGTTAATTTATTTGTATGTAGAGTTGTAAAGTCACAACGTTTATCAAAAAAAATTATGTCACGGTTTAAATCGCACGACATATTATGTATAGATAAATGAAATAAGTTCATCGATCGGTGTTATTAAGCAATACACTTTCTTACATAGAGAAAAAAAACATTTAAGAATAGAAACGCTGAACAAATAATTAAACTATAATAAATCAGTCTTACAAATATATTGGTACATACCTATACACAAAAAAGATTAAATCAAAGTTACCAATACAGAAAAAAAAATTTGAAAAATAATACCAAACCAAACACGACTTCGACCACTCATGTACCACAGTATACTACGGTTCCCGGTTTCCCATCCCAAATGAGCCTGTCAATTGACTTCAATGGAATAATTTATAAACTCGAGAGTCACGGTACGCATTTTGCATAAACGATACCCGATTAACAACTAAACAAAATAAATTAAATACATTAATATTATATAATCTTATACCATTAATTATATGTTTATTAAAAATATAAGATTAAAAGGTACCTGCGGGTAATAAGGCCTGTCGGATAGTAAGCCCTAAGTAACAAAAATCGTATTTATTATAACCGTTCTCGCTCAAGGAGATAATAACACACTCCTATTGCACATAATCTTTATGGAAGAAACGCTGGAGGACCTAAGCACTATGCTCAATGGCCTCAATAGTATCTCCTAACGGATAGGTCATAAGATGAATATGGACAAAACAACGATCATGTGTTATGTCCATGTCACACCTATGCCGGTAGTTGTTGGTAGCACTAAGCTCGAGGTCGTTGACGAGTATGTTTACCTGGGACAAATAGTCCAACTAGGTAAGTCCAACTTCAACCAAGAGGTCGACTGACGGATTCAACTCGGCTGGGCAGCGTTTGGGAAATTACGACATATCTTCTCGTCAGGTATAACTCAAAAGCTGAAAATGAAATTGTACAACCAGTGCGTGTTGCCAGTGACGAATTATGGATCTGAGACGTGGTCCTTCGCCGCTGGCCGTATGAGGACGCTTAAAGTCGCTCAGCGAGCTATAGAAAGAGTTATGCTTGGGGTTTCTTTGCGTGGTAAACTTAGGAATGAGGATATCCACAGTAGAACCAGAGTGACCGACATAGTCCAACAGATTAGTCAGCTGAAGAGTACTGAGTCTGGTACTAAGGAGCCCCTGCCCAGGGATGAGAACATAGTTCCATGTTAGGCTGAACTTGCCTCTTGTAAAGTTGCAAGCAATGTGCCGCCATGAAATGCTGTCCCGCTCTGTTGAGCACGCCAAGCAAGAGGCCAATTCAGCCTTCCCTTCCAAGTGACCACGAAACTTCATGTTATTCGAAATTTCAACGCCGAAGATTCCCATACTGGTTAAGGCAACAAGGGGAGTGCCCTGAAATCGAGGAGTTATGACAAAGGTGTTCGTTTTAGCGGGAAACGCGCAAACTTGTGTCTTCTGGGCATTAAACTTAATTAGATTTAGTCGCCCCAATCCGAGACATTACACAACAAGTTTGTTCCGGTACTCGGCGACGTTTTCCCGAGAAATATAGGCACAGCCGGTGTATAAAGCATCACCAGTGCACGTTACTGGTTTGCTACATATTATTGAGAAGCAGAAGAAACAGTGTAGGTGATAGCACGTAGCCTTATTGAACACCAGCATAAATAGGCTTGTAAATGGAGCATGCACCTACTGTTACGACTTAGTTACTCCAATCTGCAAGAAAACTGCTGATCTAGTTGCACAAATTCTCGAGAAGGCAATAGGAAGGGAGCTTCGAAAGAAGCGCTTTGCTTCGCCAAACCCGATCGAAGGCCTTCACTATGTTCAAACTAACGGCCAGGATCTACCTCTCTGCCTCCGCCGATTTATGAGTCAGGTATGCCAGAAGATCACCAGCTGAGCAACCCCGGCGGAAATCGTACTGGCGGTCACTTTTTAGTTGGTGATCCTCAACTTCATGAACTGGCAGTTCACAATGGTTAATTATTATTTTAGAGAACAAGTTAGATAGGTCTGAGCGGTCGATTTTCTGTAATTTTTTACGGATCTGGTGCACTGATCTTATTTGAGTTCAGGACTACGCCTAGGGAGAAAGAGTTTTAGAAAAGACACGTTACGACCGGTGCTAACTAGGGAGCACATGTCTTCAGCACATTGTGCCTCCCATTGCAGGAACTCCCATCAGGCCCTCTCAACTTGACGTCTAGGGATGATCTATGCGCACCGAACGCTGTGTAAACTGTATCGTACCGACCTGAAGGCGAAATTATACTTCTTTTTAACAGCGCTGGTGAAGCACTTCTACATTTTTACAGGAGCGACCAAACCAGGCACCACAGATAATAGAATAAAAAGTTCCATTCCCTGAAGTACGACATCAGCGACAGAATCACGTTGGGATCATCCGGCGAGAAGCATACCCGCCTCTGTTCTCAAGGGAAAGATACATAAAAAGACCGCATCCTGTCCCAATCGGTCGACTTATAGTTCCAAACACGGCGGCGATCTGCAGAACGCAACCGCAATGGGAGTGTGAGTGGCACCATAGTCCGGATCAGACAATGGTCCAATGAGCTAAGAGGGGCGTCTGCGGAAATCTGATATCCGTCCAGATGAGAGGTCTGCAGAAGGTCCTACAGGGAACGATCCTCCACATCTAGAATCCGCGTAGGTGAAGTAACCATTTGTGTCGGACCATATGCTAAGGCAAATTCATATACAGATCTTCCCGCATGATCGGTTAAACGAGAACCAAGCCATTCAGCGCGGTGACCGTTAAAATCACCAAGGATCACGATCTCTGCAGATGGTATCTGTTGTAGCACGGAGTCTGCAGCGATTTGGACGTAGTAGATGAGTTGGTCTGTGTCGGCATTACCTATAGAGGCACCCGTAGACGCGATGGTCGTCGCTGACCTTCAAGACTGCCGAGGCGTCGAATACAGCTGTCCTCTGACGTATACGCAAACTCCAGCCCGAGGTACAAGTGTTATAATTTGTACCCCGGATAGCAGAGAAATATCGACCGGAGAGCACACCTGCGTCTCGGTTGGAAAGACCAAGGTCGGCATCACCGTTTTCAGATGGTACCTAGTGGACTTCGTTAACGCTCGAATGAAATCTCCTGATGTTCCAGAAATTCACGGCTAGCGTGGCAGGGATCACCTTTATCTTATTGCTCTAACTGCCACGAGCAGTATTAGTCTTGAGCGGAATTTCTAAGGGTGGCAAGCGATCACACAGTCCACCTGATGGTAAGTGGTTGCTGTGGCCTATAAACATCTACATCTATCCTCGTTTGCAAATAAAATGCAGATGCGTTGCCAGCCGTGAGGACTAATATGGAATGCATCTTTTCTAGTAAAAAGGGTCTCCGGTTCTCTACACTCACCATACGAAACACAGCAGCATTAAGCTGCTATTTTACGCTGGTATTCTGTGAGAGCGTGGTCCTTACCCGGTCGAGAGGACCCAATCGTGCTACTAGTATACTCTTAATATAACTGTAACATGGCTCTATCACGTATAATTTTTATTTTTATATTTGGGTCATTGTCAAAACAAGTAATGAATATGTTCCGTATTAAAAATTATCACTAAAAATATTTAAAAGTGTGCCTTAAATTAAAATATTTTTCATTCTCAACCTTTTTTTCAACTTAGAATAAAGATCAAGCAATAAAAGAAAATAATTATGTGAAAGTAGTTTAATTTAAAGACATCAGTCCCCTTCGGTGGTCCGTTCAGAATTAACGCACACAAATATTGCACTTTCTATTTTCGAAATCACAATAAATTATAATTAATTATACTAATATTGTTTAATTAGAAGTTATCAAGAGGTGATTTAAAATATAATTAAATAAAAAATATAGTTTCTAAAAAAATTATCAACGATTGTCATGTGTAAAGCACCAAGGTGTCTTTTCGGTGGTCAAGAAATGCGCAGATTAATTGGAGCATAATTAATTTTTACGAACGCAGCTAAAACTTTACACACCATCATTAATTTTCGAACGCATCCCGGTAGCCATCTTTTGATTGTGACTGGAGTGAGAGTGAAACCCGTGTCCTATTTACCAATAATTGTATTTTGGTCAAACCTCAACGTATCTTTTCGGTTACGCTTTTAAAT